AGACATCTTCGAATTTCTGAGCTCTGAGATGCCCTGCGCGAGGTGGTCCGGCCCGTCTCGCCTGAGACATCCTTGCAACTCTGAGCTCTGAGATGCCGTGCGCAAGGTGGTCTGGCCTGTTTCGCACAAGACATTCTCGCAACTCTGAGCTCCCAGATGCCGCGCAAGAGGTGGTCCAGCCTGGGGGCCCAGAAGACCACATGTTACATATCCTCCCTGGGAGCCCCAGGAGGCCCCAGAGAGCTCCAGGAGGCCGCAGGACGCCCAGGACAGGCCCCAGGGGTCCGCAGGAGATTCCCAGGAGGCTCCCAGGAGGCCCCAGGAGGCTCCTATCAGAACGTGTCAAGTTAATACACATCCGGTGTCGATTCGTTGATTTTGCTTGCTCTTGTGGCCCCCCCCCCATTTTGGGGGGCCCCGACGGCCATATGTTAGATATCCCCCCTGGGAGCCCCAAGAGGCTTCAGGATGCCCCAGGTGGGGTCCAGGAGGCCACAGGAGGTCCAGGAGGAAGCACCAGGAAGTCACCAGGAGGTCCCAGGAGGCCCCAGGACAGGCCCCAGGGGTTCGCAGGAGGCTCCCAGGAGGCCCCAGGAGGCCCCCTATCAGAACGTGTCAAGTTAATACACATCCGGTGTCGATTCGTTGATTTTGCTTGCTCTTGTGGCCCATTTTGGGGGGGCCCCGACGGCCACATGTTAGATATCCCCCCCTGGGAGCCCCAAGAGGCTTCAGGATGCCCCAGGTGGGGTCCAGGAGGCCACAGGAGGTCCAGGAGGAAGCACCAGGAAGTCACCAGGAGGTCCCAGGAGGCCCCAGGGCAGGCCCCAGGGGTTCGCAGGAGGCTCCCAGGACAGGCCCCAGGGGTCCCCAGGAGATTCCCAGGAGGCTCCCAGGAGGCCCCAGGAGGCCCTCTATCAGAACGTGTCAAGTTGACACACATCTGGTGTCGATTCGTTGATTTTGCTTGCTCTTGTGGCCCCCCCCGCCATTTTGAGGAGCCCAAGCGGCTACAGGTTAGGTATCCCCCCTGGGAGCCCCAAGAGGCTTCAGGAAGCCCCAGGTGGAGTCCAGGAGGCCACAGGAGGCCCAGGAGGAAGCCCCAGGAAGTCACCAGGAGGTCCCAGGAGGCACCAGGAGGCCCCCGCAACTCGGAGCTCTGAGACGCCGCGCTCGAGGTGGTCCAGCTCGTTTCGCCTGAGACTTCCTCGCAGCACGTTTCGCCCGAGACACCCGCCCGTTTCGCCTGAGACATCCTCGCAACTCTGAGCTCTGAGATGCCGTGCGCAAGTTGGTCCGGCCTGTTTCGCACAAGACATTCTTGCAATTCTGAGCTCCCAGATGCCGCGCAAGAGGTGGTCCAGCCTGGGGGCCCAGAAGACCACATGTTACATATCCCCCCTGGGACCCTGGGAGCCCCAGGAGGCGCCAGAGAGCTTCACGAAGCCGCAAGACGCCCAGGACAGGGCCCAGGGGTCCGCAGGAGGCTCCCAGGAGGCCCCAGGAGGCCCCCTATCAGAAAGTGTCAAGTTAATGCACATCCGGTGTCGATTCGTTGATTTTGCTTGCTCTTGTGCCCCCCCCCATTTTGGGGGGCCCCGACGGCCACATGTTAGATATCCCCCCTGGGAGCTCCAAGAGGCTTCAGGAAGCCCCAGGTGGGGTCCAGGAGGCCACAGGAGGACCAGGAGGAAGAAGCCCCAGGAAGTCACCAGGAGGTCCCAGGAGGCCCCAGGAGGCCCCCGCAACTCGGAGTTCTGAGACGCCGCGCTCGAGGTGGTTCGGCCCGTTTCGCCTGAAACTTCCTCGCAGCACGTTTCGCCCGAGACATCGTCGCAACTCTGGGGTCCGAGATGCCGCGCGCGAGGTGGTCCAGCCCGTTACGCCTGAGATATCCTCGCAACTCTGGGCTCCGAGATGCCCTGCGCGAGGTGGTCCGGCCCATCTCGCCTGAGACATCCTCGCAACTCTGAGCTCTGAGATGCCGTGCGCAAGGTGGTCCGGCCCGTTTCGCACAAGACAATTCTCGCAACTCTGAGCTCTCAGATGCTGCGCAAGAGGTGGTCCATCCTGGGGCCCAGAAGACCACATGTTACATATCCCCCCTGGGACCCTGGGAGCCCCAGGAGGCCCCAGAGAGCTTCAGGAGGCCGCAGGACGCCCAGGACAGGCCCCAGGGGTCCGCAGGAGATTCCCAGGAGGCTCCCAGGAGGCCCCAGGAGGCCCCCATATCAGAAAGTGTCAAGTTAATACATATCCGATGCCGATTCGTTGATTTTGCTTGCTCTTGTGGCCCCCCACCCCCATTTTGGGGGGCCCCGACGGCCACATGTTAGATATCCCCCCTGGGAGCTCCAATAGGCTTCAGGAAGCCCCAGGTGGGGTCCAGGAGGCCACAGGAGGCCCAGGAGGAAGAAGCCCCAGGAAGTCACCAGGAGGTCTCAGGAGGCCCCAGGAGGCCCCCGCAACTCGGAGCTCTGAGACGCCGCGCTCGAGGTGGTTCGGCCCGTTTCGCCTGAAACTTCCTCGCAGCACGTTTCGCCCGAGACATCGTCGCAACTCTGAGGTCCGAGATGCCGCGCGCGAGGTGGTCCAGCCCGTTACGCCTGAGACATCCTCGCAACTCTGGTCTCCGAGATGCCCTGCGCGAGGTGGTCCGGCCCATCTCGCCTGAGACATCCTCGCAACTCTGAGCTCTGAGATGCCGTGCGCAAGGTGGTCCGGCCCGTTTCGCACAAGACATTCTCGCAACTCTGAGCTCCCAGATGCCGCGCAAGAGGTGGTCCAGCCTGGGGGCCCAGAAGACCACATGTTACATATCCCCCTGGGACCCTGGGAGCCCCAGGAGGCCCCAGAGAGCTTCAGGAGGCCGCAGGACGCCCAGGACAGGCCCCAGGGGTCCGCAGGAGATTCCCAGGAGGCTCCCAGGAGGCCCCAGGAGGCTCCTATCAGAACGTGTCAAGTTAATACACATCCGGTGTCGATTCGTTGATTTTGCTTGCTCTTGTGGCCCCCCCCCCATTTTGGGGGGCCCCGACGGCCATATGTTAGATATCCCCCCTGGGAGCCCCAAGAGGCTTCAGGATGCCCCAGGTGGGGTCCAGGAGGCCACAGGAGGTCCAGGAGGAAGCACCAGGAAGTCACCAGGAGGTCCCAGGAGGCCCCAGGACAGGCCCCAGGGGTTCGCAGGAGGCTCCCAGGAGGCCCCAGGAGGCCCCCTATCAGAACGTGTCAAGTTAATACACATCCGGTGTCGATTCGTTGATTTTGCTTGCTCTTGTGGCCCATTTTGGGGGGGCCCCGACGGCCACATGTTAGATATCCCCCCCTGGGAGCCCCAAGAGGCTTCAGAATGCCCCAGGTGGGGTCCAGGAGGCCACAGGAGGCCCAGGAGGAAGCCCCAGGAAGTCACCAGGAGGTCCCAGGAGGCCCCAGGAGGCCCCCACAACTCGGAGCTCTGAGACGCCGCTCTCGAGGTGGTCTGGCCCGTTTCGCCTGAGACTTCCTCGCAGCACGTTTAGCCCGAGACATCGTCGCAACTCTGGGGTCCGAAATGCCGCGCGCGAAGCGGTCCAGCCCGTTACGCCTGAGACATCCTCGCAACTCTGGGCTCCGAGATGCCGTTCGGGATGAAGAGGAGGTGGAGGAGGAGGAGGAGGAGGAGGAGGAGGAGGAGGAGGAGGAGGAGGAGGAGGAGGAGGAGTAGGAGGCATGTTTAACATGCCATGCCAGCCCGCACTGGACGGGCACGCAATCGACCTTGGAAACCGCAGTGGGTCTAAAAACCCTGTTTGGGGATACTGCACTCCGGCTATAATTGATATGCAATTACACAATATGAAAATACTCTCCCACTTCCCCTGATGGCGTCCCGAAGATATCCGACGCCCCCCCGCGCCGAGGCGCCGGCCTCATTTTCGGGTCCCGCTCGTTCCGAATCGTGCTCTCGCTGCAGCGCTGGCTTCATTTCCGTGCTTCCGCTCGTTCCGAATCGTGCTCCCGCTGTAGCGCTGGCCTCATTTCCGCGCTTCCGCCCGTTTCGACTCGTGCTCCCGCTGCAGCGCTGGCGTCATGTCCCGTGCCATGCCACAGCACACGCGAACACACACACACACCACACCACCACCACCACCACGACCATCACCACCACCACCACCAGCACCACCACCACCAGCGCCAGCACCACCACCACCACCGCCACCACCACCACCACAACCACGCACACACGCACGCACGCACGCACGCACGCGCACCACCACCCACTAGTCCGCGGATAGAGAAAATCAGCGCCATGGTAAGGGATGGGAGGGAGGGGTAGGACGTCAGATATGACGCGCGCGCACCTAGCTTGCCTCCCCCCCCTCCCCCCCCCCCCTCCCCTCCCCTCCCCCCCCCTCTCCCCTCCCCCCCCTCTCCCCTTCCCCCTTCCCGCTTCCCCTCCCCCCTTCCGTGTGTGGGGGGTGTCTGTGAAGTATGCTGCACAGTAGTTTCGGCCACGTTCGCCGGACACGTTGTGAGGGGTGTCCGAAACCACAATCCCACTAAATGGGATAGCAAGTTCGTAGTGTAAATAACTTTACAATCAATCTTCTATCGGCCACGCGGCCGGGACAGCAGCCGGCGTTAAAACTGTTAAATCAGTTTGTGATGTGTTGTGCGGTGCGTGAGGCATGGCATGGCGCAGTTTTGCGTGGCTCTTGCATGCGCGGGGAGAGTGGCAACACCAACCCCGCGCCAGTTATATATGTGCACTGTTTGGCTCAAGGCTCGACGTCCGAGCGGAAAACCATGACAGAGGCGAGGAGCAACGAAGCGCGGCAACGCCGGTTGTTCCTCCGCCCCGCTATCACTTGCAACACCCTCCTTAGGCTTAGAATCAATTTGCCTCTTGATAGTTCCCTTCACAATCCTCTTCCCATATCTCCTGCCATAGCCCTGGAAATCCTACGTCTCAGAGCGCAGGGAGTGAGCATAGAACAGCTTGCGGAGGAATACGAACAATGAGCAACAATATGATGTATTCTGCGCACCCGTTCGTGGACCAGCACCCGCTGATGTCCACAAGGGTTATGAGCCCAACAGCTTCGACGTCTACTTGGACCCCTTCGAGCGGCCCGTGGATGATCATTCGCACGTGCCACGCGTGCGCCGACGTGATGACAGGGCCTACTGTCACGTGCTCGGCGTGCCACGCGCCCGTGCACAGCCACTGCGTGGTGAGGCGCATGAGCTGCATGGTGTGCACGAGCTGCGCCAACGAGATGGACTTCGCCTTCGCGAACCACCAGGCGCAGCTGAGGATGGCGATGAGCTCCGCGGGCTTTGGGCGTTTCATGAGCGCCAGCGGCCAGTACGCACGGCAGGCCATCGGCGCGGTGGCCACCGGGGCCGTGGGAGGGGCGGCCAGGTTGATGACAGGCTGCGCCTCGGGTGCCGTCTCGGCGATCCGGGGCATGCGCGCTGTGGAGCTGCCGAGCGCGCCTGCGCCGCAGCGCCCGCGCTTCCTCGAGCAGTTCGACATCTCGGACGCGGGCTCGGGCAGCGGCGTGCCGACCGAGGTGGCGGACGTGATGGCCGAGTTTAGGCGGATGCGCGCGGAGATGGAGGCTCTGAGGGAGGAGAACGCCAGGCTCCGAGGAGGGAGCGCAGCGTCAGCCCAAGGCGGGTACGCGACGCCTTCATCGCCTGAGCGGCCGGCGGAGGAGATAACCGAGGCCCAGGACGAGGGCATCGATGCCGTCTACGGCGCGGATTGGTCTCAGGCGGGAGGGCCTGCCGTGAGCGGTGCTGGGGACAGTGCCGCCGAGACTCACGAGGTGAATGCCGCGCGCGAGGCGGCTGACACGGTTGGCAAGCACGTCGAGGAGTTCTCCGTGCAGGCCTCGGCGCCGACGAGCGCCACGCAGCAGGAGCAGCCGCCAGGACTCGGCGCAGCTGCTCATGCCGGCATCGCGCCTGCAGGACATCCAGGAGGTGGTCATCCTCATGGCGGTGGTGTTCCTGGAGGCGCTGGTCTACCTGGAGGAGGTTTCGGGGGTCCTCCGGGAGGTGTCCCACCTTGTTCTGGCGGGCTCGGAGGGCATGGACTTGGCCATGGAGGTGGGTATCCTCATGGGCTTCGTGGCGGTGGCTTCGGACTACCAGGTGGACCTGGTGGCGGAGGTGGGCCCGGCGGTTTTGGAGGAGGACTTCCAGGAGGTGGTGGGCCCGATCGTCCTGGTGGATTTGGCGGGCAGCCTGGAGGCGGAGGACCTCCACCACCACCGCCACCGCCGCCGCCGCCATATGACGCTGCTGCTGCCGCGGCGCCTGGCGGGCCGCAGCGCGACTTGTCGCTCGAGAGCACGCTCGCGAAGTTGAGGGCGGCCGACTTGCCGCGCTTGGCTTGGAAGGGCGGCCCGGCCGCTAAACCAGGAGTCCTCGAGCATTGGATCCAGAGGGTGTCGCTCGACCTGGGGGGGATGCACCACCTCATCGAGCGCTACTGGTCGCAGGTGCTGGGCGTGGTGGTGGAGACGTGCGAGACGTATCTCCGCCATGGGCCCTTGGACCGCCCCGCGATCAGGCCCATGCAGCCTGCGCAGTTCCCCCTCGGCGAGACCGACGCCGTGAACTTCCACAGCGTGGAGCTCCGACTTCGGGGCCTGCTGCTCGCCCTCGTGCCGGAGGGCGTCAAGCAGGCATGCCTGAGTACGAGGCAGACGAGCACCACCGATATCCTATTCAGCGCGTGCGTGTCGGCTGGCCCGGGCACGGGCGCTGACAGGGGCCACGCGTTGGAGCAGGTGTCCAAGGGGAGGCACGTAGACGTGAAGTCCACCTACGACGAGCTGCAGCGCTGGAAATTCAGCGCGAACCGCCTCGCCACGCTAGGCGTCGCGGCCCCCGACCCCAGCAAGCAGCTGTCGTCTCTGAAGGCGATCGCGCACAAGATGCTGGAGTCCAACGAGGAGGTGAAGCACCGCTACTTCGGCTTCCTCGTGACTCGTGGTCTCAGCGGTGGAGTGGCTAACCAGGCGCAGGTTGACGAGCTGTGGCGCTATCTCAGCGCGGAGGCGAGGGAGTTCGCCGATGCGGCGCCGCAGAAGGACGACCCTGCGGCGAAGCTCGCGATAGAGCGACGTCTGAAGGGGGGGCCCAATGGGCACCCAAAGGGAGGTAAAGGCGACCCCAAGGGTGGAAAGGGCGACACCAAGGGGAAGGACGACAAGGGCGGCAAGAGTAAGACCGACCAGAACTCGTCCAAGACTGGTGCGAAGAAGCTCTGCACCTTCTTCGAGAGCGCGGGCGGGTGCACTAAGGGGGCATCGTGCTCCTTTGCGCACCGGAAGCTTTCTCCGTCGGATGGGAAGTGCTTCAATTGCGGTTCGACCGAGCATCGCAGCGCAGACTGCACTAGGCCTCGTGCTGCCACGAAGGTTGCTGCGCCGACGCCGTCTCCGGCGAGTACTGGGGCGACTTCGGCATCGACTGCGGCTGGCGGACCGTCGGTTGCGCAGGTAGCGGCTCAGACGGCGCGCGCCGAGGTCCGGGCTGAGCTGATGAGCCTGATGCAGATGGGCTCTGGGACGCCGTCTGGTCAAGCTGGGCACGCGGACGCCGACTTCTGGAACGCCGGCGACCCGAAGACCAAGATGGTGAACATCAAGGCCAAGGCGATGATCGTGAACGGGGAGCGGTACCTCCTGGCGGACACGGGCGCCACGCACGAGCTGAAGGGCGTCGAGGACTTCGACGACCTCGGCGACGACGTGCGGACGGTGCAGCTGGAGACGGCCACAGGCTCGCATGATGCGCGCATGGTCGGCGACACAGTGTTTGTACTAGGTGAACATCTACAAGGTTTATTCCCACTTGCGTCGTACGTGGAGTCCATGGGGTTGGAGATGGAGTGGAACCCTCGGCGGTGCGGAGTGCACGTTGGGAACGAGTTCGTCGACCTCCACCGGGAGAACGGCAGCATCTACATCAGCGAGAAGAACGCCGAGATTCTTCGAGCGGCTCGCCGGGCCCAGCTTCGGGAGAAGTTCAGGGCCTCTATGGCGGCTTTGGCGACGAGCCTCAGGACTTTGACGAAGCTCCGCGAGCGCCAGGAGGGCGGGCGCATTCACTTCGACGTGAACTGCCCGCAGTGCCGCGGCGCCCACGGTAGGATGTGTCAGCATTTCCGCCACGATGCCAGTGCGCGCCCGGGCGGGCAATTGAGCATCGACCTGAGCGGGCCGCACCTCCCGGGGCGCTGGCCATCGGGACGGTCCGAGGACACGGGCAGGATGGCGCAGCACTTCGTCTTGGGGGCGTTCTCGGTGGTGACCGCAGCCGACATGCAGAGTCGAGCTGATCGTGAAGCAGAGGCTCGCGAGGCAGCCGGAGTACCCGATGATGTGCCCGAGGTCAGCTCCACGGGTGTTGCTGTTGATGGCGATGTCAGGCAGCTGGCTGCTCGAGTCGCTGCCGCATTTGAGGTGTCGGAGCTCGGTGAGCTGCGCCTCAGAAGCGACTACCCGGGCCTGATGGCAGTGAGGCCCGTGCAGGCGCCCGACCGCCCCCAGGACGAGGAGGAGGATGCGGAGGCCGAGGTCGCACCAGGGGGCGCCGGAGCCAGCTCGGAGCCCGCCAAGACGTGGTATTTTGTGGTGCCCTTGGAGAACAAGCGCTTCGAGACGTGCAAGAAGGGGCTGGAGCAGATCTTGGCCATGATTCGGTCCGAGTTCGAGGGCGCGAACGTGGTGTACCGCATCCACGGCGACAGGGCGAGCGAGCTGACAGGCACCAAGTCGAAAGAGCACTTCGCGAAGCAGGGCATCCTGGTCACCAGCACGCCGGGGTACGAGCCGAACAACAACCCCCGCGCGGAGAAGGGGATCGGCCTCGTGAAGTTGAGGGCGAGGGCGATGCTGCTGAGCTTCACGGACCCCCGCGACAGGCAGGACCTGTGGCCCATGGCGGTGCAGCACGCGGCCTGGTGCAGCAGGATGGCGGCTCAGGGGCGGCAGACGAACTGCCCTGCGTTCGGGGCCAAGGTCAGCTCGAGGGTGAAGGATTTGCCCCACGACATGCTGAGCGAGAGAGCGGTGGACAGCATCTTCCTCGGCGTTGACCCCGAAAGCGCGTGGCTGGTTGGGCGAATCGACCCGAAGGCTTCTCGCCCCGAGGCGCGCTGGGTGATCGAGTCCTCGAGCTCGTTCGTGATCCACCCGGAGGCGGCGGTGTTGCCGAAGGAGCCGGAGAGCGCGGCAGATGAGCGAGGACCACGAGGAGCAGCACAGGATAGTGAGGAGGCATTGAGGCCAGGAGGAGGATCAGGAGCGTCAGCAGGAGGAGGACCAGGAGCGCCGCAGCACCCACAGGAGAGTGAGGAGACAGCGAGGCCTGGAGGAGGACCAGGGGCAGCAGGAGATGAACGTGACGATCGTGAGGACGTTCTCGGCGAGGTGCTGCCCAAGGACATCAGCTGCCCAGCTTGCCGGGGCCAGCGCAGGAGCCATACGAGGGGCGAGCATTGCCGGCTCGGCCCACTTCTTCGGGACGACGGGAGTCCAGGTGCTTTTGGGCGCGGAGGTGGTGACATCTACTCGTGCCCAGCGTGCCGAGGACGGCATGTCGCACATTCTCGTGGCCATCGGTGCCGACTCGGGTCAGGATCAGGGGGAGGACGTGCAGGAGGAGCTCATAGGACGGGTCGTGCGTCGTCGTCGCCACGCCTTGCATCCGGATCGTCTGGGCGGCCGACGATTCGTGCCTTGCCGTCTTCTGGACCCCCTGTCAGCCTCCTCATGCACCACGACTGCATGAACACGCGCGTCGCGTTCTCGGCCGCAGTCGGCGCGCCCTGGGCGAGGAGGAGGATGACGACGACGACATTCCACTTATCTTCCAGGAGATCCAGCGCGAGAGCGGTATGACCCTGACGACGATGAAGACCCTAAGTGCTGCCTTCGGATCGGAGCGCGAGGAATGGCGCCAAGCTTTGGAGGCGGAGCTCATCTCCATGACTGAGAATGAGGTCTTCAGGAAGCTCTCGGGCCCAGAGCTGCGAGAAGCACGGCCTCGAGACGTGCTTCCTATGAAGGTGGTGGCTGGGGAGAAGGCTGCAGATTCTACCGGATACCGGAAGAAGAAGGCCAGGGGCGTCGTGTGCGGCAACTTCGAGGTCGAGTCGGACGAGCCGGTGTACTGCAGCAATTTGGACATCGCATCGCTGAGGGCTTCATTGGCGGTGGCCTGCAAGAATGGCTGGAGCCTCGGGGTCATGGACGTGTCGACCGCGTTCCTGAACGCTCATTTGCCTATGGGGCACAAGCGTGTCGTCGTCAGGCCGCCTGCTGTTTTTGTCGGGTACGGCTTGGTTCCGGAGGGCGAGCTGTGGGTGGCGGAGAAGGCCATCTACGGACTGAGGGTCAGCCCGAAGGCCTGGAGCGACAAGCGGGACGCTGATATGAAGTCGCTCGTCGTGGATATCGGGGGCGAGCCGCGCGTGCTGCGGCAATCGGCTGCTGATCCGGCGGTCTGGGCCGTGGTGCCGCAGCAGGGCGGCGACGTCGTTGGCTACGTGCTGGCGTACGTGGACGACTTCTTGATGATGGGGTCGGACTCCGCAGTGATAGCCTTGAGGGGCCAGCTGGGGAAGCTCTGGCGCACGAGCTCGCAGCCGATCGTGAGCAGGTCGGCACCCGGCACGCTCTGGTACCTGAGCATCGACATCGAGCTCAGGGCCGACGGCGCTCTGACGCTCGGGCAGCGCCAGTACGCCGAGGAGCTGCTCGAAAAGTGGGGGATGCTCCATTGCAATGGGACGGGGAGCATCAACTTCGAGAAGGAGTCTTTCGAGCACTTCATGGCCACCTCCTCCAGGGGCGATGGCGACGACGACGAGGCACCTGAGGTGAAGCTGTCCGATGTCCGGCTGGCCCAGAAGATGGCCGGAGGCCTTTTGTGGCTGGCCTCCCGGACGCGCCCAGACATAGCGTGCGCCGTGTCGCGGGTGGCTTCGATAGCGACCGCCCGCCCGCTGACGAGCCTCTGCTTCGGCAAGAAGGTCTTGAGGTACTTGTCCAGCACTCGCCGCATGGGGCTCTACTACCTCCCCGGCGGCGGAGGCGGAGGTGGAGACGACCAAGGCGACGGCGGCGAGCAGGGCCCTGAGGCCGCCTTCGTCCAGACGTTCGCGGACGCTTCCCACGAGGACGTGGGAACCCAGACAGGGTTTGCTACGTATCTTGACGGCTGCCTGATCGATTGGAGGTCGGTCAGGCAACAAGTGGTAGCTTTCTCCACTTGTGAAGCCGAGGTCAATGCACTTGCCATGGGCGAGAGCATGCAATCGTCAGTTGTGGCAACTCTGGAGAGCATGCAGATCAAGTGCGGTGCCGTTCTGTATGGAGATAACAGCGCCGCCAACCAGATTGCGACTGGCAGGGGGACGTGGCGCACGCGGGCCCTCTCGACCAAAGTTAACGCGATTCGTTCGCGTGTCGAGCGAGGTCTTTTGACTCTCCAGTTCGTCGCCACATCTTTTATGAAGGCCGACGGGCTGACGAAGTGCGGCGGAGTACCGCACGCGCAGCGCACCAGAGGCCATTTTGGCCTTCGCCCGCTGTGAGCCACAGAATTCGCAGGTTTTGTGGGCCTCTTGCGCCCCGCACCGCGCCGGGCTGTGCCGGCGCGAGTGTGGAAGATCGCAGCTGCCCGCCGCGACTCCCGAGGAGGAGCGTGTGTGGGGGGTGTCTGTGAAGTATGCTGCACAGTAGTTTCGGCCACGTTCGCCGGACACGTTGTGAGGGGTGTCCGAAACCACAATCCCACTAAATGGGATAGCAAGTTCGTAGTGTAAATAACTTTACAATCAATCTTCTATCGGCCACGCGGCCGGGACAGCAGCCGGCGTGAAAACTGTTAAATCAGTTTGTGATGTGTTGTGCGGTGCGTGAGGCATGGCATGGCGCAGTTTCGCGTGGCTCTTGCATGCGCGGGGAGAGTGGCAACGCCAACCCCGCGCCAGTTATATATGTGCACTGTTTGGCTCAAGGCTCGACGTCCGAGCGGAAAACCATGACAGAGGCGAGGGGCAACGAAGCGCGGCAACGCCGGTTGCTCCTCCGCCTCGCTATCACTTGCAACACCCTCCTTAGGCTTAGAATGAATTTGGCTCTTGATAGTTCCCTTCACAATCCTCTTCCCATATCTCCTGCCATAGCCCTGGAAATCCTACGTCTCAGAGCGCAGGGAGTGAGCATAGAACAGCTTGCGGAGGAATACGAGCAATGAGCAACAATATGATGTATTCTGCGCACCCGTTCGTGGACCAGCACCCGCTGATGTCCACAAGCCTTCCGCCCCCCCCCCCATCCCTCCGCCCCGCGCGTCTCATCTCATGTCGTCGCAGCGCGGCGAACCAGCGAGCGCAGCATGGGGAACTTGCGCGGCAGACGACAATAGCGCGGCATTTGCAGACCGCGGGAGCATGGCAGACCAGCTCGGCAGAAATCTGAGCACGGCGGACCAGCACGGCAGATCTCCGTAGCTGTTTTGGCTCAAGATGTCTTTGGCCTTCGGACAGAGAGTGGGTGCCTCTAGTCCGAGGCTAGCTTCCGGTTCTTGCAGCCTCAGTCAAGCTGCGCGCAGCTGCGGCCGAGAGGTTCGTCTCGCGCGGTGCCTGCCTCAGGCTCGCGAGGCACTGCGGCCATGGCGTGCGCCCCCGTGTCCCCGACTGCGTCTCCGGCGGTGGGCGTTGGTGGTGCAGCTCGAGTTCGTGTCGGACTCTGGCTTGGTCGTCGAAGAGCCTGTGCTGCGGCTGCGTTGCGCAGGCCACTCCGTGGGTCAGGGTGTGCTCGCGGTCGCCTTCGCATGCGCCTCGTTCTGGGGCCGAGGCTGGGGCTGCTGCCGAGGGCGACGGCTGGTTCGCGCAGCCCCGCAGGCGTCAGGCTCGCTGCAAGGCGCGGGCTTCGACTCGCGCGGCCTCGGGGAACAGCGGCCGCAGCTGCGCCGAGGTGGCCGAGGGCAGCGCCGAGCGCCCCGGGGGCAGCGGCAGCCCTGCCAGCGAGGTCCAGGGCATCATCGCCTCCACTGAGCGCCTCGAGGGCCTGCGCGACGACCCTCCGCTGGGGGTGTCGGCCAGCTTCGGCGCGGAGGTCGAGGCCCGGCTGGCAAGCGGGCAAGGCGAGCTGGAGAAGGCCCGAGCAGCGGCAGAGGAGGTTAATCAAGTCGGCTGAGCTGCCCCGCACTGCGCGCATGCGCATGGAGGCCAGGGCGGCAGGCAAGGGCGAGAAGCGCCTCGGCAGGGCCCGCGAGGCCATCGAGGCCAAACGCTTGGCACGAGAGCATCTCGTCGAGCAGCTCGCGGCCCTCGACGGCGAGCTGGAGGGGGGTGGGGAGGCCTTCCGCCGCCTGGAGGCCGACGCCCGGGCGGCTGCGGAGGAGGGGCGGGGGCGCCAGGCGGCCGAGCTCGCCGCGTGCCTGGCCTCTTCGCGCAGCTCCGGGCTGCAGGCCGCGCAGCGTGGTGGCAACTTCGAGTGCGCGTGGGCCGAGATCGAGAAGATGGCGGCGGTGGGCGCGCAGCTCTTGGGGGCCAGCTCCACGCCGCGCGAGGCCTGGGCGGGGAGCTGCCCCATCGATGAGCTTGACATCGGCGGGGGGGGCCCTCCTGGCCTCGGCCAAGGTCCGACGTGTCTGGCCATGTCAGCCTGCGGCCATGCGCGGCCAGGGCGAGCGGCTCGGAGCAGCCGCGGGCCCGTGGTTGCGCGTCACCGAGGTGGCCATGCGCCCTGCTACTGAGGCTGAGCGGTCTCCTGCTCGTCCTGCTTCTGCAAGCGAGGGCGGCGGCGGCGGCGGCGCAGGGGCCGCGGCCGCGGGGCCGCCGGGCCCTTGACCCGATGGGGGGTCGGCCAGGTGGGCCGCCCCCCAGGCCTGACGAGCGGCGGCCAAACGGGCCAGCCCCAAGGCCAGTCGGACCCGCGAGGCGACGGCGCCCTGGCCGACAGCTTTGACCCGAGGGGGGTCGGCCAGGCGGGCCACCCCACAGGCCTGAGGGGCGGCGGTCAGGTGGGCCATCCCCAAGGCCAGTCGGACCCGCGAGGCGACAGCGCCCTGGCCGACGGCTTGCCAGGGGCGGCCAGGCGGGCCCCCTGGGCGAGCAGGCCGCCTCGAGGAGGCGCGGCGCGCAGCCCGGAGGAAGCGCGTTGATGCAGCCAGGAGCGCAGATGCGGCCACTCGGCGGCCAGGAAGAGGGCAGGTGCGGTGGGATTCGGCCTCGCGTCGTCACAGCACGTGCCCTCGCCGGCGGCTGGGATGCGCAGAAGGGCTTGTCAGCTCAGGAGGCTGGCGGCTCGCGGCGCGCGACGGCGGCGGACGCCATCATCGGGGGCAGGGTGTGCGACCTCGACCCGGCGGCGAAGGCGCCGACTGCCGCCTTCGCTGAGGCCCTCGCCAGTGGCCTCGTCGTGCTGGGCTGCAGCGACAGCGGATGGCGACGCTCCCTGGAGGTGTTGGAGGACTACGCCCGCTTGTGGGGCGCCTGGCCGCACGTCGTAACCTTCCAGGAGACCGGGCTCCTAGCGCCAAGCAAGTTGGGAGCAAGTTGTCCTCTGCATCTGGTACCGCTGGAGCGCCGGGGCCCCGCGGGCACGCGGCGTTCCACTGCGCTGCCAAGGCCGCGACAGCCACGGGGTCCAGCTGCACGTCGGGCGGGGTCCCCGTCCTGGTACGCAAGGTTCTGGCTGCGAGGAGGGGGCCGTGGCCTGTGCCTGCTTGCCTCTCCCACCGACTGCTGGGGGTGGAGGTGATGATGCCGTCGGGCGTGGAGCTCATGGTCGCCGCGGCCTGCTTCGAGCACGCCATCGGGCCGAGGACTGACAACCTACCTGGACCTACTGCGAGCGGTGGCGCAGCTCACCGTGGCAGCAGGGCGCGCGCCGTGGCTCCTGCAGGCAGACTTCAACATGGAGCCAGCGACGTTGCAGGAGCTCAGCTGGCCAGAGTGCCACCGCGGGGTGATCGTCGGACCGTGGGCGCCCACCTGCTTCGCCGAGAAGCAGGAGAGGGCCTTCGACTGGTTCGTTGCGTCGCAGGACCTTGCGCGCGCGGCGAGCGCCTGTCGCCCCGTGCCTGGGCTCGGACTCCACCCCCGCGCGCCCGTGGAGCTCGCCCTCCAGGGCGCGAGGCCAGACGCGCTGGTCCATGTCCTGAGGAAGCCGCGCCCTCCCCCGCAGTGGGACACTCAGGAGCGCGAGGCCCGGGGGGGTGCGCGCGTGGGGGCCTTCCGCCGAAGCGGCCGAGCTGGCTGCTGGCAGCGTGGCCCATTCCGAGTGGTGCTGGCAGCCAGGTGGGCGGCCTTGCAGCCTGGAGCTCGGCCCGCTACAGTAGATGTCGGCGGCCGAGGGGGCGCTGATCGGGATCCGCGGCATCGACGAACAGCAGTGGGGCCAGCACTGCTGCCGAGGAGATGGCCCCGTCCTCGTCCTCCGACCGATGGGCGCCCCTGCGAGGCGCCGCCATCGCGTGCTTCGCGCCGCCGTCGCGCGCGAGCTGCGGTGCGCGAGCGACTTGGCGCGGCAGCGCATCGAGGTGGGGGTGGCCGAGAGGCTCCCCCCGTCGCGCGAGTGGTGGTGCAGCAGGGAGGCGCTGCCAGCGCCTGGTCTACGAGCTGGAGACTGCAGCAAGCGGTGGACACGGCTTCGACATCGGCGGCGGCTGGGAAGAGCTGATCCACGACGCGTGCGTCTGCGGCGTCGCGGAGGCCGCCGCGGTGCCGCGTGGGCGGCTGGCTGCGGCGCGCCGCTACGACGCGCGCAGGTCGCAGGCAGAGTGGGGAGAGTGGGCGGAGGTGGCGGTCCAGAGGGGCGGTCGGCTCGCGCGCCGCTTCGCCGGGGCCACCGCCCCCCCTGCCGTCCTAGACCCTGACCCAGGGAGGCTGCTTGATGGCATGGCCTCCGTCCTGCAGCTCAGGCAGGAGTGGCAGCGCCTCCGGCTTCAGGACGGCTGCGACGTTAAGGCGTGGGGCGTGCGAGGGGCCGTCCTCCCCCCCTGAGGATGGAGGGCCTGCGGGAGTGCTGCAGACCCTACCCCCCTCGGTGCGGGCTGGGTGTCGGCCAGCTCCGCCCGCGCCTGCTGGACCTCGTGCAGGGGTTCGAGAACGCCCCCTGCAAGGTCTGGGCCGCGGCGACCATGGTCGTCTTTATCTCGGGGCCCTCGGGCGGCGTCGGGCCCATCGCGCTGCTTCCGCTGATGCTGCGGCTGTGGGGTCGCCTTCTCCTGCCTGTGTGCAGCCTGTGGGGAGGGGCCCGCAACTTCCCTTCTTCTGGGGGCGCGGTGGCCGTGGGTGCGATCGAGCAGGCTGGGCGCTCAACGCGGTGGCCTCGCACGCCCAGGGCCAAGGGGTGGCGGCGGCCTCCTTTTTCGTGGACATCTCCAAGTTCAGCGAGAATATTCGGGACGACGTATTGTGGAGGGCGGCCGTGAAGCACAATTTGAAGTTGCCGAGAGGACTCCTTGTCAGTTGCCAGAGCCCGCGCTGCGTGGCCATGGCTGGCCTATGCGCGGCAGCGCTCACCACCGGCGGCGCGACCCTGGCTAGCTGTTTGTGCGCCAAATCGCTTGCCAAGCTACCGATGCTGTGCCCTCTCGTGGCAATGGCGATGGGCCGCCCCCTCGTCTGCCCCAGGAACGTGTTCGACCGCGTGTTCTCCAGGCCACTGGCACGGGCGGCGCAGCGGCTCAGCGACGCGGGGGCCCAGCTGGTCTCCATGTCGATGGCGCAGCATCTGCCAGTCAACGCGTCCAATGCCCATTTCTTGACCAGCAACCCCGCAGTGGCGCGCGGGCTGAGAGGCAGGCAGCAGCACCACGGCTGGACCTGCAGCCAGGAGCTGCAGGCGAGGAGCCTCGGCACCGACGCGTGCATGGCGCGCGGAGGGGTTGCGGAGAGCTCGGCAAGGGCGCGGCAGGTCTTGCGTCGCGGACGCAGGATGCAGAGCGTGAAGGCGGCAGGGGCACGAGCCGACGCTGTCTTCAAGGGAGGGGGCCGTCGTCGGCATCCCAGACGGCGACCTGCGCTGCATGCGCATCGCGGCGCGCAGGAGCGCGGGGCGCCTGCCTAACGGTGCGCCCCTGGGGCTGCGGCTGCACGCGGCCGCGGCGCTGCGCGGCAGCGACCTCGACCCCGAGGTGCTTGCGGTGGGCAAGGCCGCGTCGATGGCGGCGGTGGCCCTGCTGAGCGGCGCCGTCTCGCAGTCCGCATTCGTAGCGGATGTGAACCGAGCTGCCATCCGCCAGTGCGCGGCGACGGCCCCCTGGGCGCACGCTCGGCCGCGTCGGCTGGGGCGTGCGCGGGGCCGACCTAGTCGCAGACCTCGGGGGCGTTCTGGGCCTGGGCTTCCTTGGTCCCAAGGACCTTATGGTCGAGGCGGAGAGAGGGGCTCGGCGTGCGTCGGACAGGCAGGGGCTGGCCTGCCATGCCAAGGGTGGGCGACATCGCCACCCGCTCTTCTGGGGCGTCATTGCGGAGTTGATCGGGCCCGGCGGCTCCTTGGGCCCCAGGGAGAATCGGGCTGAACAGGACCCCAAGCGAAACGTCTGTGAATTTTGCTATGTTCCAGGTTGCTTATTTGTTTGCTCGATGTCGTTCTTGCGCGCGGTTTCTTTGGCGTTGCTGGACGCTCTTCGCGATGCCGCAGCGCATGGTCGGGCCCCGACTCGCCTGGGCCCCGCCGCGGGGTCCGTGGGCCCTGGCCCCAGAATCAAAGGAGATCTGCGCCCTTGAGTCGAGGGCTCTGGACGCGGGGTCCGCGGGGCCCCAAGTACACAGGCCACCCGCGCGCGCTGGGCTTGCCCCCCGAGATGCCACCGGACGAGGCCACCGAAAGTTGCCCCGAAAGATGGCAGTTTCACATCGGTCGAATCATTAGCGAAAGTTGGGTGAATTATCTTCGGTCTTGTTTTTAACAGTGCGGAGCACCATCCGAGGCGTCGACGGGCAAGATTAGGAGCCCTTACGCGGCGCGATTCGGAGCCCCATTCGGGACGTCGATGGGCAAGATTCGGAGCGGGAGCGCGGCCGCCGCAGGCAAGATTCGGAGGTGGGATTTCGGCTACATGAGGTGCGATCAGCGCCGTCCTCAGCAGCCTCTCAGAAGCATCGGAGGAGCCCCTTGGGAGCTTCTCCGGAGCCTCTCAGGATCATCTCAGACTCTTCGCGCTCGCGCCCGCGCAAAGGCGGGCTCAATGCCCCCCCGGCGCTGCGTCGTGAAATGGAGCGTGCGATTTGCATCTTTCAGATTTGAAGAGGAAGCCGCATTCACATGCCATCTTGGGGGGGCAGTTCAGCCCGAGGGAGGAGGCAGCGTTCGTGTCTGTCTTCACGAACGCCCACTGGCCGCAGCAGCGCCTCCTGGCGGCCAGGGAGCGCCACCGCGGGGGCTGCCTCCTCTGCGTTGCTGGCATTGGCACGCTCACCCACCGTTTGTTCGAGTGCCCTGCGCTGAAGGCCGCCAGGAGAGACTGCGGCTCTGGGCGTGTGCGGCGGCGTGCGTAGCGCGTGAGGCAGCCATGGGAGGCGGCAGCGGAGGATTTTGCTCGCTGCTGGCTGCCAGCACCCATGCTTCGCCCCCTTGGTCTGGGCAGTGACATGGGGGTCCGCTGGTTCTGCAAGCCGGCCGATGGCCTCCTTCGCGGGCGGCTATTCTTGGACGGGTCGGCGCCGGAGCCGACGCGCGCAGCGACCCGACGCGCCGTTTGGGCCGTCTGCCACGCCAGCGAGCGCGGCATCCTGGAGGCCGCCTTCGGCACCGTGAGAGCCGACCTTTGCCCGCAGCAGACAGCCCAGAACGCCGAGGGCCTCGCGTGCTGAATGCTGACCGAGGTAGCTGGGCCAGGACGCCACGTCCTGCGCGTGGACTGCGCCTCCACTGTCTCCCGCCTGAGGCGCGGGCGCCAGTGCGCCGCTGGCATGGGCCGACCTGGCGCGCACCTCTGGAGCAGGTTCTTCGCAGTCTTCGGTCCTGATGATTACGGCGCCCGCAAGGTGCCGGCCCACCTGACATGGGCACAGGCGCAGGGGGGCCGCGTCTCGGAGCTGGAGTGGCGTGGCAGCAGGTCCGCGGACATGCCATGCTCGGCGCGTCGCCCCATGCCGTCCCGCAGGAGGTGCTGGTGCACTGCAGGGTCCTCGCGCTGGTCGTTGCGGGGCTGGCGTTGGGTCGCGCAGGTGTCCATCTTGATGCAGCGGGGCAGCCCCCGCGACGCGCTGGGCCTGCCTGATGGGCAGCAGAGGAATCGGCCCGTCGTGACCTTCGAGGGCGACCCCAGCGGCCTCCCCGCCGAGGCGGCGGCCGCAGGAACTGCGCCCGAGCGGGGGCGCTCCATTGCATCGGCGACGTCGGGCCTCGGCCTCGGAGCAGGGCCCCTCATCGTGCTGGGCAATTGCTTCCGCTATGCGACGGCAGACGGCGCGGACGATGGCGCCGCGGAGCGCTTGGTCAGTTGCAGCCGCTGCGGCGCCCGCGCGGACATCGACGGAGGCAGAGGGCCCAAGCTGCGCGCCGAATGGGGCCCAGGGGCAGGGGCGGGCGCGACCAGCTCAGCTTCGGGGAGCGTAGGCAGCGCCCTGGTGGACGTCGACGAAGAAAGAAGATGGCCATTGGGCACCTGCGCTAGCTGAACATCACCGGTGAGCTGCGTGGCGACGTCCTGCCTGCTGCACCTGGCGCTGGGGGGGGGGGGCCCGAAAGCTCCTTGCAGGCCGCCCTCGGGGGTGCTGGCCGCGAGAGGGGCGGGGGAGGGGCGGCCGCCTCCTGCGCGTCGAGCTCGTCGCCAGCGGGCGGTCTGCTGGCAGATGCTGACCGCGTGCGAGGCAGTCCTCGCGGAGCCGCTCGCGGACGACCAGCGGGCGCTGCTGCGGCGCCCAGAGGTTCGGGGGCGGCGGCGATAAGCCGCCCGCAGGCCATGCGGGCGCGCGGCCTCGGCGAGGCTGGCCTGGCCGACTGGGTGGGGGAGGTTGAGGCGATGGCAGAGGAGCGCAAGCGAAGACCCCTCGTGGGCCCCCCTGAGTCCTTGTAGGGGCGGAGAGCGTGCCACGGTGGTTGACCGCCAGTGCGGGGCCGTCTCCTTCGCCTGCTACCAGCTTCACGGTTTCTGCGGGCCTTCGCAAAACGGGGTCGGAGGTGGGCGTGTGTGCGTTGGGATTCCCCACTGGCGTTCGGGAGTGCGTCGGTGCAAACCCTCCAGGGCAGTTTCATCTCGTGAGCGTGGGCTCCCCCGTGGGCTTTGGGAAGTGCTGCGGGGCAAACCCTAAAGGGCAGTCTTCTGCTTGCCTTGTCGAGGTCCCTCCGCTTTGGCGAGCGGTGTTAGGCGAGGTGGGCGCCGTGCGGTTGGCCGCCCGCGCTGTCGCGCTCTTTCCGCCCCCAGGTGTGTGGCTTTGTGGGGGCTCTGAGGCTCTGGCCCTTCCCCGCTGGGCTCCCTGGGCGGGTGGGGGCCGTGGTGGCTCTGCCCTGGGGCGTGGCCCAAGGTGGCCAGCCTTTCCTCTTTCTCTTTCTCCTAGGCTTCAAGCCCCATCAGCTTCAGCTTCAGCGCGGCAGACTACAGCAACGCGACGTGCTAGAGCGGCAGGCCACGGCCGACCACAGGAGCTCGGCAGACCATCGCGGCTGACCGTAGCAGCACGGCGTACCATCGCGGCAGACCGCAGGAACACGCCTGACCAGCATGGCAGACTACACCAGCACGGCAAGCCAGCACGGCAAAACAGACCACAGGAGCACAGCTGAACACATGAGTGCGGCATATCGCAGGAGCACAGCAGACCAACACAATGACCCAGCAACAATTCTTTCGGTCGTTTGTGCGTACGCATTTGTGTGTGAATGTGCGCATATTTCTGTGATTCAACAACTCGTATGAGTTAAACAAATAGTACATATACAAAAACCTCTCGCAGCCGGGTGATCCTTGACAAACTTCGTGGGCAAACGCGCCGCTTCCCGTTACGGGGCCCCAGGAGGCTCCCAAAGAGCCCCAGGTGACCCCCAGATGGCCCAGAACAGCCCACACCGGCGACAGGACGGCCTGAGATAACCCCCGCAAAACCCGAAGACACGCCCAAGCAGCCCAAGAAGACCCCGGTAACCCCCAAGAAGACCCCGGCTGACTGCCAAGAACCCCCCAGGATGCCCCCAGCTACCCCCACTGGCCCCCAGGGTAGTTTCAAATGATCGCGAGGACCTCCCTTCTCTTCGACGTTCTTGTCCTCGGGCTCCTTATCGTCCTCCTTCGTCGTCGTCCTTCTTCTCCTCCTCCTCCTCCTCCTCCTCCTCCTCCTCTGGTTCGTTCCTCCCCGTTTTTGTTTTCCATCTCTTCCTCCCCCGTACTTGTTTTCGTCTGCTCCCATCGCTGCCCTCCCCGTCATCCACGGTGGCATCGTCATGCACGCTGTCATCGTCATTCGCCGCCTTGTCATCACCACCGTCCTCACGAGCACAATGGACAAGATCGGCGCTTCCCGTTCTTGTCCTACCAGGTTTATCTGAAAAAAGGGATTGAGGAGGTGGAGGAGGAGGAGGAGGAAGAGGGGAGGAGGAGGAGGAGGAGGAGGAGGAGGAGGAGGAGGAGGAGGAGGAGGAGGAGGAGGAGGAGGAGAAGGGAGGACGAGGAGGAGGAGGAGGATTAGACAGGCGGGGGATCTGTCCTGGCCAGTTGGCGAGTGCTGGCCCGACTCCCGCCCCTGCAAAGCAGGGCGCGGTGATTGCATTTAAACTTGTGCAGATGACGCGAATCACTGCCCCTGGGGTTGGCGAGGACGAGTGCCTCCATCCTCTGTCCTCGACTGCCCCAGCAGTTGGTCCTGCCCCGGCCGACCTCCCCAGATTTCCCGCCTTGCGCAGAAGGGGGCAGGTTTCAAAGTGACCGTCCTGTGTGCAATGCAGCGAGGTGTGTGGCTGTCGGCGAAGTTGGTGTCAGCTCGGGCGGCGCAAATGAGTTCTCCTCTGGCACCTGCTCCTGCTCCCTCCTCGTCCTTCTCCCCTCCCCCTCCCCCTCCCTCTGCTACAGCTGCTCCTCCGCACCCTCCTCCTTCCCATTGCCCTTCTCGTCGTCGTGGTCCTGTTATCTCACCTCCTCCACCCTCTCCCCTCTGCCCCCCCTCCGCTCCTTCCTCCCTCCTTCGTTCTCCTCTTTCCTTGTCACTCCTTCTTCGCCCCTCCTCCCTCGCCTTCCCTCCTCTGCTCCCTCTCCATGGCTCCCCTCCTGCCTTGCTGTCCTCCTTCCCCTCAGCTCTGTCCTCTCTCTTCTGGCATTAAGCCCTGCCTCCTGCCCTTCCCTGGCATCTTCGCGCCGCTGCTACCCCCCTCCGTCTCCTCCTCCCCGTCCTCGTTATCCTTTCTCGCGGGAGGCCACCGGTCGTCTTGAGATATCAGGCAGCATGAGCGGTAACGAAAACACAGTTCTAGCCCTCCTCCCCTCATCGGTCAAGGTTCAAGGACAGATTTTTGAGTATCTTTGGACTCGCAGGGGCCTCCAGAGAACTCTGGGGGCGTCCCGGATGCCTCAGTGGACCTCTGGAAACACTCTCGGAGATTTCCTCTTCCCCCACCCCCCTCTCTTCTCATGTTTCTGATTCTGCAGCTCCCTATCTCTCCCTCTGTTCACAGGCAGGCAGAATCCAATAGCTCCTCGTTCGTGTGCCTGGTTTTTGCGCAATCTGGTACTTGAGTAGCTGCGTCCGGCACAGAGCGAGTCAGTCATTACAGGCACTCAGTTTCAGTGCCTGGGATGGTCACGAGTCTCGGGATGTGGAAGTCGAGAAGTTCTGCTTTGCCCCGTTTTCAAGGACCCCAGCCATTGGCCAGATCGGGGTGGGGGTGAGGGTCCGTGTCGGAGGAGCTGTTGAGCATGGGGGGACCCTCTGGGGCAGATGCCAAAGAGGGGGGCTGCCGAGACGCGGCGGACGGCGGGTCTGGGACGAGAGTCGGCTTCGGGCGAGAGACTGTCGAGGAGGAGGAGGAGGAGGAGGAGGAGGAGGAGGAGGAGGAGGAGGAGGAGGAGGAGGAGGAGGAGGAGGAGGAGGAGGAGGAGGAGGAGAGGAGGAGGAGGAGGGGGAGGAGGAGGAGGAGGAGGAGGGGAGGGGGAGGAGGAGGAGGAGGAGGAGGAGGCGGAGGAGGAGGAGGAGGAGAGGAGGAGGAGGAGGAGGAGGAGGAGGAGGAGGAGGAGGAGGAGGAGGAGGAGGAGGAGGAGGAGGAGGCAGGCGCCGTCGGCTCGGGGGTGCCCAGCCAGAGATTCTCCCCCGGAAGGGACAGGGGGGATGCGGGGGGGCGCGGTGGGTCTCGGGGCGGGGGTCGGAGTCGGCTTCGAGGCTCCTCCTCCTCCTCCCCTCCTCCTCCTCTCCTCCTCCTCCTCCTCCTCCTCCTCCTCCTCCTCCTCCTCCTCCTCCTCCTCCTCCTCCTCCTAGGGTCGGGGAGGGTGGGGTCTGGGGCGGCAAAGAGGGGGGTGATGACTCGGGGGGTGGATATCGTGGCGGGGGCCATGATATCTCCCCAGGTTTCATGGCGCCCCTTCTCATGTCATTGCGTCCCTGGTCCCCCCGCTGGGCCGCGCACATATGCCCCCGGTCATGATTTGCACCCCCCCCCCTCTTGGACACCCCCCTCTTGGCCGCTCCCGATGGGGGTGCCGGGGCGCTGTGGGGATCGGGGCGGGGTCAGGGTTGCTTCGGCCCAGATGTTTCGAGATGCGGGGCTCAAACATTTTGTTTTTTCATTTCACCCCCTGAGTGAGTCTGCTGATGACGGGGGCGGCGACAAGTGGGGGGGCTCAAACACACAGGGCTGCAGAAGGTCGGGGATGCCGAGGCGCGGTGGGGGGGTCGGGGTGGGGGCTCAGTGTTGTTCTCGGGCCAGACATTGCTGAGTACTCACCACCTACCAAACCACCCCAACCCAACCCGAAGGCTTCAATTTTGGGGCCCAAAGAATATACACCACCACTACGTCGATTCCTCCTCCCTCCTCTGTCCAGCGAGAGGGAGGGGGGGAGGGAGGTGGTGGTGGTGTCTATTTTTTGGCTCCCCACAATTTGCCCTCCATTTCCAGTTGGGGTGGGGGGTCGGGGAGCGTTGAAAAAGCACATGGAACAACCCGTACCCCCCCCCCCAACCCGAGATTCGGGTCAAGTTCGGGCCTTCGGGCGGGGTTGGGGTGGTGGTCTGGTAGGCAGTCACGAGTGAGGGGTCCCGCGGACAGGTTTCCAGAAGGTTTCGGGGGTGCTGGGGCGCGGTGGCTGGGGCCGGCTTGGTACTCGAAGTTTCGAAAAGGGGGGAGTTCAAGGACTCGAGGTTTCGAAAGGAGGAGGAGGATGAGGAGGAGGTTGGTGTCTGAGCAGAAATTGTCTGGTGGGGGGTCCCAAGAGGAGGAGCCCCGAGGTGCGCGGCTAGGAGAAGAGATCTCAAAAGGGTGTAGACATGCCGGGCCGCGGTTTTGGGTCTGGGTGAGGGTCCGGGTTGGTGGGGGATCCCAGGAAAAGAGAGCGCCAGAAGGGTGGGGATGCCGGGGCGCGGCGAGGGTCGGGGTGGAGGTCTGGGGTCGACGGCTGGCCAGAAGTGGTCGGGTGGTGAGGGTCCAAGAGCGGGATTTCATATGAGGTAGTCTAGAGCAGGGTCGGTGCCGTGAGAGAAATCGTGGAGTGGTGGGGTCTGAAGGGCAGGGCTCCCAGGACTGCAGGATGTCAGCGGGGGGGGGTTGGAACGGGGTGCCGCGGCGGCAGGTCCAGGTGGCAGTCGGGGTGAAGATGCCGGGGCGCGGCGGGCGTCGGGGTGGGGGTCGTGGTCTGTTTCGGTCCGGAATTTATTTTGGGTGGGAGTCCCTCGGACGGTGCGCAACGAGGGGTCATAAATGGGGGGGTGGCGAGGATGGTCCGAAAATGTACCCAAACGGTACCTAAACGAGCCCCCTGGGACTCCAGAGGGGCCCGAAAGGGGCACGAAAAGGGACCGTTTCTGACCCCCCCATTTATGACCTCCCCATTGAGCCACGCCCAAGTCCCAAGAACAGGATTCCAAAAGAGTGGAGATGCCGGAGCGCTGTGGGGGCCTGGGCAGGGGTCAGGGTCGGTTTCGGAGCAGAATTTGTCGGGTAGGGGGCCCCAGGAGCACGATTCTAGAAGGGCGGGGATGCCAGGGCGCGGTGGGGGTCCGCTGTGGGTCCGGGCGGGCCCGACATTGTCGGGTGAGGGGTCCCCGAGAACAGGATTGCAGAAGGTTGGGGGTGCCGGAGCGCGGATTGCGTCGGGGTGGGGGTCAGCCAGGAATTTCGAGGTAAGGGGCCAAGATCAGGATTTCAGAAGGGTGGGGATGCCCAGGCGCGGTGAGGGTCGGGATGGGGTCAGGGTTGGTTTCGGGCCAGAAGATCTATGATGGAGGGTCCCAAGAGCAGGGTTCCAGAAGGGTAGGGATGCCGGGCGCGCGAATGTCCGGTTGGGCTTCAGGGTCTGTGTCTGGGCAGAACTTATCGGTTGGGGGGGGGGCCAAGAAGAGGATACCCGAGGTGGGAGTTCCAAGGAGAGGATTTCAGAAGGGTGGGGATGCCAGGGCGCGGTGGGGGTCGGGGTGGGGGTCAGGACTGGAATCAGGAAAAAACGTTGTCTTGTGGGTGAGTCCCAAGAACAGGATTCAAGAAAGGGTGAGGATGCTGGGGCGCGGTGTGGGCATGGGTGGGGATCAGGGCCGATGTCTCGGCAGAAATTCACGGGTGGATTGTCCCCAGATCAGGATTCCAGAAGGGAGTTTAGAACAGGATCGGAGCCGGGCGAGAAATTGTACACTGGGGAAGGCTCAAGAACAGAGTTCCCTGGAGGCCAGGATATCAGCGGGAGGGGTCTAGAGCGGGGTGCCGCGTCGGGAAGTCCATGTCGGAGTCTTGGTGGCTTCCAGCGCCTAACGAGGTCGCACACGCCTTTGGGGTCGGCTTGCCAATAGAGAACAGTGTGGTCAGGCTGCCTACACGCCTTAAGCCATCTCACTCGTTCCCGCCCGCCCTGCCAGCACGTGAGGAGCACCCGAGTCTCAGCATGGACAGGGGCCGGCACCGAGAACCACGGGGAGCCACTGCAGCCGCCAGCCAGATGCGCGACGCCGGCGAGGTGCAAAGCGCGTGCCAGGGCGCCCCTGGCACCCATGCCGAGCAATACCATCGCGGGGGCGCCCCGCGCATGGTCGAATATTTTGTGCCGCAGCATGCGCACTGCAAGTGCTGTCGCCGATCAATCGGCGGTGCACTGCCGATTCCAGGTCAATGTCGCCCCTCCGAGCTGGTCCCCATCGCTCCCCTCAGAGCAGGCGTGCGCCCACACCCTCATCTTCGAACGCTGACTCGCGGACCTCGAAACCTACTGGCATCCTCGAGGCAAGTGGGCCTTGTAAACGGCAGGGCCGCTTGTCTCAACGTTTCCAAGCGTCTGGCTCTCAGTCATGACGCGGCGCTGGAATCGGAGCTGGAACCGGAACCAGAAGACATGCGGTGACGGAGCTGTGCGCGCAGCAGCGGCGCAGCCCACAGCGAAAACCAGGCACCGCGGAGCCATGAACAGCACCGCCAGGCCGCGTCTCCCAGAGGCCCTCGAGCCTCGATTCTGGCGACCTTCGGATCCCTCCTCTCCTGCGCCCCCGGGGGGGGAAGCGCCGCCCGGCCCGCAGGGCTTCGCCGTCCTCCCGATGCCTCAGGCGTGCTTCGCCGCCGCGGCGTACGCGGGGGAGCACCTGCTGGAGCTCGCGGCGCACGACTTCCCCCAGCTGCCGTGCGCCGCGGAGGCCGCTCCGCGCCCCCCCCCTCGCGGCGGTGGCCAGAAGGGCTGGCTTTTCCCTGGCGTTGCCGCCGCTTCTCGGCGGCTTTCCAGGCGATCGCAAACCTGCCGCTTTCGGCCGCATGCGAGCCCTGCCCCTACCCCCCACGATTTCCGAGGGGGAGGGTTGGGCTCGCTCCGCTCGGGATCTCCCGAACGAAGTGGACCCCACCCTTCCCCTCAGAAATCGTGGGGGGTAGGGGTAGGGCTCGCATGTGGCCCCCTAACAGGGGCGTGGATTAGCGACGGGTCCCGCGCCCATGGGGCAATCGCGGACGCCCGCCGCCGAGCGAGGCGGCACCGGCCGCATCCTGGGGAGGGCGGCCGCGCGCCAAGGCCACGGATCGCGAAGCCGCGCCTGTGCGCCCCCGGGCCTGGCAGCGTCGGGGTGCCCGCCGGTCCCAGACCCCAGGCGTCGTGATGTGCTCATGGCGTCGACCCCCAGAGGTCTGTCGGGGCTGGACAGAACCCCCAACAGTGACACGTCGATTAGTGAATTGTCCGTTTTCGGTTCTCGAGAGGGCGCCGCGGCCGTTATTTTCCAGGCTTCCGCCCGCCAGGTTTGGGCCTCAGGTCGTTTTCACTAAACCACGTTTTACTAAAGGGAGGTCTGTCCATCCCCGAGTCTGGACCCCTTCCCCGGAATTGTTGTTTCATCCCGCAGCGGTTTTTTGACAGTTCGCCGAGGCCTGGTACAGTCAGCTTGCATAGTCAGGATGGGCGACTTTCCGAGCTTACCCATTTCATCCTTCCCCTTCGGCCCATCCTTGGCCGCTTTCGCTGGCCGCGCCCCGCCCGCAGAGTGTCGACATGGCCTTCCGCGGCCCTTGCATCCTCATGGTGTGCCCTTATGATGCGTGTTGACTGTCAGGGCCCCCAGAGGCCCAAAGCAGCGAGCAATTTTGGCGGCGATCAATGGGGGGCGATCCATGGGGGGGCAAAGCGAGGCTGCTGAAAAGGGGCCCTTTCGGGCCTCGAAGGGGGCCCTTCAGGGACCAGATGAGGGCCCTCAGGGCCCGAAAAGGGCACCTTCCTTTTCCCCTCCTGTATCGCCCCCCGAGGGATCAGGAGGAGGCGGGCGGTGGGTCGGTGGATACGGATAGATTCGGGTCCTTGGGGGGCCAAACATACACCTTGGTTTTCATTTCCCCCTTGCCTTCTGGCAAGCTTCCTCGCAGTTTGTGAAAGCTTGCCTCCCAGAGGAAAGCACAGCCAATCACGGAAACCCAACCAGGTTGCCACCCACGGCAAGTACAGGCAGGAGGGCGGGGGCTGTGGGCAGAGGTCAGGGAGAAATGACACAATGCAGCTGCGACAGCATGGTGCTACAGTATAGGGCTCGCGTGCACGTGTTGTACATTTACGTCTTGTGGCCCCCGGCCATCGGACACACGGCAGTTACATTACGTGCCATCAATTGCTTGAGGCAGCGGATGTTTCTGATGATGCTCTACCCGATGTTTCCGCGCCGTCATGACTTGCAGGAGGAGGGTCAGGGGAGTAGTGGGTTGCAGGTGCAGGATATCGAGGGGGGGAGCAGCAGCAGCAGCAGGAGGAGGAGGATGACGAGGAGGAGGAGGAGGAGGAGGAGGAGGAGGAGGAGGAGGAGGAGGAGGAGGAGAGGAGGAGGATCAGGTGGAGCAGGGGCGAGCATGAGCAGTAGGAGGAGGAGGAGGAGGAGGAGGAGGAGAAGGAGGAGGAGAAGGAGGAGGATGAGAAGGAGGAGGAGGAGGAGGAGGAGGAGGAGGAGGAGGAGGAGGAGGAGGAGGAGGAGGAGAAGGAGGAGGGGTCCTGGGCAATGGTCGGGCCGAAGGCGGCGGTGGGGAAGTCTCCGGCCCCAGTCTCGCCACCCCCTCGCGGGCACCGTGTGGGGCTGGCCGGCGCTCCCATGCGAACCCTACCCCTACCCCCCATAATTTCTGAGGGGGAGGGTGGGGTTCACTTCGTTCGGGAGCTCCCGAGCGAAGTGATCCCCACCCCCCCCTCAGAAATCGTGGGGGGTAGGGGTAGGGCTCGCATGTGGCCCCCTACCCTGGGGAGTCGCTAAAGTGTGTAGTTAGGCTCACTCATGCCGAGGTCCCCCCAATCCTGCTTCCTCCGGTCGGGTAGCGCCCCGGGGCCTCCTGAGGGCCGCGGCTCGGCCGGCTCCGAGCTAAGATCAGGTCGGCGGGGTGTCTGGGAACGGCATGATCCCTTCGAGATTCTCGCGTCTGGGGTCCTGGGAGGTCTGGGGACTAGCTGTCAGGACCCCCCTACCTGGGTTAGGCGGTTCCGCCCCTCATGGTGGGTGTGAGGAGCAGGGGCAGGAGGAGGAGGAGGAGGGCAGGAGGAGGAGGAGGAGGAGGAGGAGGAGGAGGAGGAGGAGGAGGAGGAGGAGGAGGAGGAGGAGCAGGAGCAGGAGGAGGAGGAGGAGAGGAGGAGGAGGAGGAGGTGGAGGAGGAGGAGGAGGAGCAGGAGCAGGAGCAGGAGCAGGAGCAGGACAGGATGATGATGATGATGATGATGATGATGAGAGGAGGAGGGAGGAGGAGGAGGAGGAGGAGAGGAGGAGGAGGAGGACGAGGACGAGAACGAGGAGGAGTGGAGGAGGAGGAGGAGGAGGGGAGGAGGAGGAGGAGGAGGAGGAGTCGGGGGAGTAGGGAGAAGGGAGGAGGGAGGAGGTAGGAGGTAGGAGGGGGAGGAGGAGGGGGAAGGAGGAAGGGAGGAGGGAGGGGAAGGAAGGGAGGAGGGAGCAGGGAGCACAGGGAGCAGGGGGGAGCAGGGGCAGGGGAGCAGGGAGCAGGCGCAGGGAGCAGAGCAGGGAGGAGGGAGGAGGGAAGGAAGGGAGGAGGGAGGAGGGAGGAGGGAGGAGTGAGGAGTGAGGGAGGAGGAAGCAGGAGAGGAGGAGGGAGGAGGGAGGAGGGAGGAGGTCGGAAGGGAGGGCGGGGAGTAGGGGTGTAGGGAGTAGGGAGTAGGGCTCTGGGAGCAGGGAGGAGGGAGCAGGGAGCAAGGAGCAGGGAACAGGGAGCAAGGAGCAGGGAGCAGGGAGCAGGGAGCAGGGAAAAGGGAGCAAGGAGCAGGGAGCAGGGATCAGGGAGCAGGGAGGAGGGAGCAGGGGGCAGGGGGTATGGGGCAGGGGGCAGGGGTCAGGGGGCAGGGAGCAGGGAGCAGGGAGCAGGGAGCAGGGAGGAGGGAGGAGCGAGGAGGGAGGAGGGAGGAGGGAGGAGAGAGGAGGGAGGCGGGAGGAGGGAGGTCGGAGACTCATGGACCGCAATGCCACTCCCAAGTTGGCGGCTGATAGCCCGGGGCTTTCCTTCCTCGGGAGGAGTGGCTCAGGAGGAGGAGGAGGAGGAGGAGGAGGAGGAGGAGGAGGAGGAGAGGAGGAGAAGGATGATGATGATGATGATGATGATGATGATGATGATGATGATGCTGATGCTGATGATGATGATGATTATGCTGCTGATGATGTGGATGCTGATGCTGATGATGATGCTGATGATGATGATGATGATTGCTGCTGCTGATGCTGGATGATGAGGATGATGATGATGTTGAGATGTGATGTGCTGATTGATGATGATGATGAGGATGTGGTGATGATGATGATGGATGATGATGAGCTGATGATGAGGATGATGATGATGATGATGATGTGATGATGCTGGATGATGATGATGATGATGATGATGATGATGATGATGATGATGCTGATGATGATGATGATGATGATGATGGATGATGATGCTATGATGATGATGATGATGATGATGATGATGATGATGATGATGATGATGATGGTGATGGTGATGATGATGATGATGCTGATGCTGATGATGATGATGATGATGATGATGATGCTGATGATGATGATGATGATGATGATGATGATGATGCTGATGAGTATGATGATGATGATGCTGATGATTATGATGATGATGGTGGTGATGATGATGAGGAGGAGGAGGGTGATGATTGCGAGGAGGAGGAGGACCAGTGTAAACCCCAGAGTCATCAACGATGGTGGAATTAACCCTCCCTCCAAGCTCCCTCTTCATGGGCCCTATACAACGGTTCATTTCCAGTGAGGGAACTGCCTCGGTTAAATGCAACCGTTTGAAGATCTTGAAGCATTCCAAACCATTGTTCTCGGGATGTCAACGCCACGTATCAACCTGACTGCTGCGTTTTTTGACGATCCGAAATCGTACCAGAACGCCATTTTTTGGACTTCAATCTGCGAATCAACGTAACTGTTGTGCCCAGATGATCGTGAATCTTTCCAAAGCACCATTTCGGGTACGTTGATCACGGGAATCCGTGAAACCCTTGTAAATTGTGAAAACGAGTGTGCGCGGCGCTAAGGCGAGAACCACATTTTGAAAAGGAACCGCCCTCAATCCGTGAATCTCTTGCAAGTGTTGAGAAAGAAAGTGCGCGGCGCTCAGGCGAGAGCCACATTTTTAAAACGACCCGCCCTCAATCCGTGAATCTCTTGCAAATGTTGAGAAAGAAAGTGCGCGGCGCTCAGGCGAGAGCCACATTTTTAAAACGACCCGCCCTCAATCCGTGAAGCTCTTGCCAAATGTTGGAAACGAATGTGCGCGGCGCTAGGGCGAGAGCCACATTTTGAAAACCACCCGCCTTCAATCTGTGGAACTCGTGCAATGTTCGAAACGAATGTGCGCGGCGCTAGGGCGAGAGCCACATTTTGAAAGCGACCCGCCCTCAATCCGTGAATCCCTTGCAAATTTTGCATGCGAAAGTGCGTGGCGCTAAGGCGAGAGCCACATACTGAAAACCACCCGCCCTCCATTTGTGAAACCGTTGTCACTGTCTAAGCTTCAGAATCATAAATGGTGAGGAAATCTTAGGCGAAACGCCCGGCCCATCCAAAAAACTGGCTTCGGATTGCGACAATGAGAAATTATCTATAAGGAGACGAAATGGAGGGAGAGGAGGAGGAGGATGAGGAGGAGGAGCGGAGGAGGAGCAGGAGGAGAAGGAGGAGGCGGAGCAGGAGGAGGAGGAGGCGGAGGAGGGATAACAGTAAGGATACTAGTAGGAGTCATAAGAATAAGAGCAAGCATATCAATCACACCAATAGCTATACTAATGCTAATATGGTTTATACTAAGTCTAGTAATACTAATATTGCGAAGAAGAGTATTAATACTAAGAAGACGAGTGCTACTACGATGAATAATAAGAAACATACGAATACTAAGAGGAGGAGGAGGAGGAGGAGGAGGAGGAGGAGGAGGAGGAGGAGGGGAGGAGGAGGTAGGAGGAGGAGGATGAGGGAGGAGGAGGAGAGGAGCGGGAGAGGAGGAGGAGGAGGAGGGGGAGGAGCGGAAGAAGGAAAGGAGGTGAGACGGAGGGTGAGCGGGGGAGGAAGGGGAAGCAAGAAGGCGCGGGCGACGGGGGAGACAACGCGCAGGAACCGAGCGGGGGCCGCGCAGGTAGGCAGGGCGAGCAGGAGGTGGGACGACGGCTGCGGCGGGCATGTCGACGAGCTCCCCCGGGGAGGGGGGGGGTTGGCCCGCCGCAGGCGCCCCCGCCAGACGACGCGTGCGAGGCGGGCGGGTCAGGCGCGCCCGTGGGATTGGGGCGGGGCGTCCCCCCCTCCCGCCCCCTCCCCTCCCCTTCCTCCCCCCCTCTCCCTTTCCCCTCGCCTCCCTCCCCTCCCCCTTTCCTCCGCTTCCCTCCTTCCTCCCCTCCCTTCCCCCTTCCCTCCCTCCGTCCCCCTCCCACTCCCTCTCGAGAGTGCGCGCCTCTCCCTGGGCCGACGCTGCTGGGCTGCTGTCGGGCGCCAGCTGGGCCCCGCAACTCCCTGCTACAGAGCCTGTGCCCGCAGCCTCAGCGTGCTGCCTCGTTGGGAGACCCTCATGCATCCATCCATCTCCATCCATCCTTCCCTCTCCCTTCCTCCCCTCCGTTCCCCTTCCTCCCTCCCTCCCGTCCCTTTTCCTCCCTTCGTCCCTCCGTCCCCCTTCCCTCCCTCCCTCCCTCCCTCACTCCCTTCCCTTCCCTTCCCTTCCCTCCCTTCCTCTCTCCCCTCCTTGTTGTCTGTCTCCCTCCCTGGCCGCCTGGACTTCGAACCTTTTTGGGCAAACCAGCACAGGGACGTCTCGCCGCTTTCGGCCTCCGCGGGGCTTCAAGCGACGGCCCCCAGGACATCAGACTCAAACTCAGCTTTTCTTGCGTGCGCTCGGGTCGGCGGGGGGCGGATCCCAACTCCCCCCCCCGCCCTCCGGGCCCGAGGGGGTATGGGGGTCACGACCCTTTCCCCTGGCGCAGCTGGGGAGCAACACCGCCCCTCCTGATTAGGCGGGGGGCTGGTGGTTCGTCGTCGTCGTGCTCGTCCTCCTTCTCCTCCTGTTTTTGTTTCGCACGGGCTACGGCTCTTCCCGCCCCGCCCAAACGGGCGCGGCTCTGCCCGCAGTAGAGCCGGACGGACGCTCGCTCGCTCGCTCAGGGCCCCCCTCTCCTGAACTGCGGACGCGAGGCCCAGGCCCATCGACCCCCAGCCACCTGCTCCTCCTCTTGCTCCTCCCCGCCCCCCCGGGATGCTGCCCTCTGCGACCTGGGATTTCGTTGTCTCTTTTTGGTGGTGGCTCTGGTAGCAGACCGAGTTCGGGCATCCAGGCGGCATCCAGTCGCTCGAGACCAGCGCTTCTGATGACTTGCTTCCGATTGTTGTGCCACACAGCTCTGCAGCTCATCTGCAGCTCGAGTCACACCACGAAGCCTATGAGGACCTCTACAAACCTAGCAGAGGTGCCCTGGCGGGCTGTCGACCCCCAGCCGCCCCTTCCGCGCGTCGCCCGTGGCTCCGGGCCCCACGCCTGGCCCACCCCGCCCCAGGAGCGTGCGCCCTCGCGGCCTCCTCCTCCTCCTCCTCCTCCTCCTCGTCCTCGTCCTCGTCCTCGTCCTCGTCCTCTTCCCCCTCTTCCCCCCCCCCCCCTGATCGGGTGGGTATAGCCAGGACCCCAGGTCTCCCGTCGCCGGGCGCACTCGCGGCCGGTCTCCGGCCGCCGGCCCACGGTGGCGACGTGCCGCCAGCTCGAGGCCGACGTTGGCCCCCCCCTCCATCCATCCATCCTCCTCCATCCCTCGTTCTCCTCCTCCTTCTCCTCTCTCCTCCTCCTCCTCCTCCTCCTCCTCCTCCTCCTCCTCCCCCCCTCCTCCTCCTCCTCCTCCTCCTCCTCCTCCTCCTCCTCCTCCTCCTCCTCCTCCTCCTCCTCCTCCTCCTAGCGTTAAGTCGGGCCTGTTCCTCTACAGTCGGGTATGGCCAGGACCCCAGGTAAGGGGGCCCGGTCAGTGGTAGGGCCCCGGAGCCCCGAAATTGGCCAGAGTCACCAAACCAGGTCTGCCGCAGCTCGTGTTTTTTCGGGTGGCGGCAGTTCTGGTCAGTGGAGCGGGGCCGGAGGGGGGGTGTCCCCCAGTACACATCACTAAGCCAGGTCCCACTAAACTTAGCTCTGCCAACGCCCGACCTGAGCCGGTCCCCCTTCTGCTGTTCCCCCCCCACACGCCTCCCCCTCCAGGGGACCACGAGAGCCAGGCGATGCAGCGGCGGCTCGCTCTCGTGGCTCAAAGCCGCCCAAGATCGACGCCCAGGGGCCATCCACTGCTGTTTCTCGAGGCGGGCCCAGCCATGCCGACCAGGAGCCTCCAGGAGGTCCAAGAGCGGGCCGAAAACGCCAGGGCGCCGCCGGTCTCTCTCGTGACGAGTGACGACGGGTGTTGTACTGGTTCTTATGACACGATTAGAGGATGCACGGACTTGCAGGACTCTTGGTGACTTCGCGTATGTGCATTGGAATTGCGTGTCTGCATTCGACGAGCTGCGAGTACAGGATATTTTGGAACAGTCTCAATTTGTCGACCTTGTGGCATTGTTTGGTACGGAAGAACGAGCGGGAGAGGAGATGTGTACAGTGTTTCGTCCCGGGCAAGCATGTGAATAAGTCGTGTGGGGGGACGCTCTTATTGCGACGCAAGAAATTTCGACTTCAGTATGTGGTGGACAGCGCTGCCGTGCCCCCCTCTCTCTAAAGGCGAGCTGCCCTCGACCATCGCAGAAGTGAGAGGGAAGGGAGAGCACGGCAGCAGGCAGTTTCAAGCGGTATCACGATACGGTTGACAGTATGTGCAGCTTGCTGGAGACATGTTTTACATGGGTCAGAGCACGATCGGCACTACTATGTGGTTTTGACCCCAACGACTCTCTGGGGATGCGACGATCAGCTACGGGTCAACTTGTCCCCGTCATTTCCGATGCGAACTGTGTGTATGGATTGGGTGAGCAGAGGTATGCAGGGGATTGTGTCCAGAATCTGTTGGAGAGGTTTGCGATTCGTGTCAACTCCACTGACTACCTAGTTGGTGGCACGTACTACAGCAATGCGAGATTCTTGGCAATTGACTATGTGGCGACCTGCGCGTGGTAGAACCGTAGCGTGGCCAAGTGGGTCGGCCTTCGGCATGCGAGTCTTCGGTTGAAGTTGATATCGAAGCGGGGCTTGCAGGATCACGTGCCCGTCTTGTTGCGAGCACACATCTTTTGATTTTCCTTCGGCGCGCCCCACTGGTGTCAGGCGGGATTCCGACAGGCCGGCCCAGGTACCGCGTCGAGGGATGGGAGTGGGCGCCTTCTTGTCGGGCCTTGAGGCGGCGTTTGCAAGTCAGCCACGCCCGCGCGAGGCTTCGTTGACGGCAAGTGCTCCCGACCAGCTCTGGCAGGACTGGATCAGGGCGGTGCGCGCACTGGCTGACCGTCATTTCTCGCGAAATGCCACGGAATATGACACAGTGGTGCGCTGCGAACAGGAGCGCAGGAGGCTACTGGCATTGCGCGGACATCAACGCAGTTTCGGCGAAGATGACGCGGAGACTGGCCTGGCCTTAGCTCGTCTCACGCTTGTCCTACAGACGCTTCGACAGGCTCGCTTTGCGGATGTGACGGAGCAGATTGTGACGGAACTGCAACAGGCCTGGCGGGCGCAGCGGCGCGCTGAGGCGCGGCGCCTGGCGCGCCTGCTGGCGGGGCAATGCCGAGGGCCACGGAAACGACGTGACTGTGGCAGGTGAATGTACTTCTCGGAATGATGAGGCGTGCGATTATTGTGCTTGCGATGGCCCTGCGCGAGGTTTTCAGGCTGCGCCGATGTCGTTTCACGGATTTCAGCAAGAATGCTTGCAGGGGCTGCCTCCTCCTCCTCCTCCTCCTCCTCCTCCTCCTCCTCTCCTCCTCCTCCTCCTCCTCCTCCTCCTCCTCCTCCTCCTCCTCCTCCTCCTCCTCCTCCTCCTCCTCCTCCTCCTCCCCCCCTTCGGTGCAACTTTGCTGCTTCGGAAGAAGCTGGGGGTGACCTGGAGAGAGCGGGCGACTTGATCGCGAAAGCGCCGAGGAGGAAGGCGGCCCCGATAGTGTACCATCACTGCTGCGGTTGGTGATTGACCCTGCGCGACGGTCGGGCGGTTCTCATCGGGGGCCACGACGACGACGGGGACAGGAAGGGGATGGCGATGATGGTAATGACGCTGGCCCCCCCCCCTCCTCGACGGCGCGATGCGCCTCGCCCTGTCCCTCGGCGTCGTCTTGGGAGTGCTCGTCGGGGCCTTGGCTGATCGGGAGGCCCTCTCGAATGCGAATGATGTCTCCTTGAACCGGCCCCGGCAGGTATCTCGCCAGGTACGACGTGTTCAACGGGCCCCAGTGGTCTGGCACCCCTCGAGGGCTACGGGGCTCAGCAAGGCCAGTGGGAAAGAAGGGTTTCAGGCTAGGCGGTGTATTCATGAGAGGTGTCGCGCGGGCGCGTCCTGGTACAGGGCCCAACTACTGCAGGGGCCCCCGGGCGAGCCCCCAGGCTGGGAACGTGGATGCTTGCCGGGCCGCAACCGCGAGTGAGGCGGCCCTCCTGGCCCAGGAGGCGCTTTCCTGGGGGTCCGACAGCCGGGCCTATCGGCGCTCGTGTCCAAGGAGGACATGTCCGACGCTTTCGGGCGCTCCACTTCTGAGGCTCGTCAGGGCGCCGTGCAGGCTTCCTCCGCCCCGAATTCTCAGGTGCATTCTAGCCAGCGGCATGATAGCAGTGCTTGCACTGTGCAGACGGCCGAAGGTGAGCAGACGTGACGGAATCGTTGTGGAGCCTTCTTGGGCGATAGCCACGCGGCCGCGTTTTTCGCTCGTGCGCTTCGGAAGCCCACGCAGGCTTGGCTGGGCGCGTTGCGACAGCATGCATGGAGGGGTTGCCATCCCCCCCCTCGGCCGACGAGCTACGACGAATGGATATCCAGCCTTCTGGCCCAACCTATCCCGCTTCCCGACCTCGACGACAAGATGTGTCATTCAGGAGACATCTGTATAGCTTGGACGCCGTTCTTGCAACGGCCTGTGTCTTTGGCTTGCCGTGTCTATGCGGGCGATTCCAGCGTGGCTCGCGCGGCGTCGTCGGCGCCGAGGGCGCGACGTACCTCGGGCGTTGCTCATCGGCGGCTTCGCGAGGGTTTGGCTCCGAGTGGCTGCGAGCGCATCGCTGACAAGAGTAATGTGGCACCTGGTTTCGTAGGCCCTGGGGCGCATGGGCGCCCCCGTGCTTTTTTTTTGAGGCGCAGTTCCCGTCGCTGGGAAGATCCAAGTTGTAGGCCTCCTAGATGGGGTCCGAGTTGATGGGGTCGGAGGGCAGCGCCGCATCGCCGATGCATCGACGACGCGGCTCGATGTGGAGCCCGTGTTTCCCCGCGCCGACGGCGCCGATGCATCGCCGACGTCGCCGATGCATCGCCGATGCATTGCTGATTCATCGGCGATGCATTGGCGATGCGGCGCGATCCTTCGAACCCATACACTCGGGCCCTATCTCGGAGGCCTCTACAAGTCGACTCGGCGTCTCTTGGGGTCGCCACGTCGGTCAACGGAGGGGCGCCGACGGAGTCGCGACGTAGGATTCTTGCGCGTAGGCGGGATTACTATGCCATGGGGAAGTTCTGGGCGCGGAAGAGAGTCTGGAGGTTCACGAGGGCTGTCTTCGAGGCGGTGGTCCAGGACTCTCTTCTGGCTGGCTTCGCTTCCCTGCTAATGACGACGACGCAGGACAAAAAGCCGGGTCCTGTGCTGATGGCCGATTTGTGTCGGAGGCTTCTCGGAGGTGATGCCCGCGACAGAAAGGGGGGCCCTGGGGCCCGAGGGCTTGCCGCGACTGGGCGCAGAGGGAGCCCGCCTTTTACGTGCGAGACGTGCGCGGGCGAAGAAGTGCTGAGGAGATCCCCCCCCGACGGGGGCATGGTTGCGCGTGCGACGGCCTGGGGCAGATCAACGATGGCTGCGCCGTCCGCGCCGCCATGCCCGAGAGATGGCCGCTGTCTTTGGCCGCCCACCTGTGGGGCCAACTCCGACCATATCGCGCCCGGCGGGGCCGCTGCCGCGGATGCGAGCCCCTGTGCATGGAGGTCTGCCGCTGGCGCCATTCGCCTGCTGCGGCGAGCAGAGGGGGGCGAGCTTCTGGGGGAACTGTGTCTACGAGGCGCCGACGCCAGATGCGCTTCGCTCGAGTGTGCGCGCGCTGTTTCCCGACCCCGAAGTGAGGGGCGTGCGCCTGCGGCTCGACCCGTGCGTGTTGCGCGCGGCTGCGAGGGCGGTGGTCATGCCTCCTCCTCTCTCTGCGCATCTCGCCCAACTTTGGAGGCCTCGGAAGTCCCGCCGACCCTGGCGGTGCCTGCCCCGTGGAAGCGTGGGCTTACGGACTCGTTGGGTACTGACTGTGGGAGCGGGTTTATGGCTGAGCGAGCTCTGCCGGCGCGTCAGAGGTTCTCGAGGGCTGGGGGCGCAGCGTGCGATCTGTGGTGCATGTAGTGACTGCGACCAACCTATGCATGCACTGCATGCACAAATTCCGTTCAAGGCGCATTGCACATGCGCGTGCAGTGCACGCAGTCCTGCAGCAACGGTGCCCTGTGACGACTCTCTATCACTATGCAGTTCAGGCGCCCGACGTGTTCGAATGCCCCCTAACGACGATCTCAGTTGCTTCTATCTTTGGTGGTCGCATTGCAGAGCCGTGCTGCTCGAGGGGTGCGCCCGCTACTCTTGGCGATCTGTGCCGGCGTCTGACCGCCCGCCCGCGCGCGCCGCAGTCCCGACGCGTTCGAATTGAGCTCGGGGCAGCTCGAGCAGGCGCGCTCTCGGTCAGACTGCGCGGCCACAGTGGATCGACCGCTGCTTCTCGCCAGCGTGGAGGACGACGCAGAGGCCCCGCCGGCCCCCGCGCGCCCGCCGCCGCCCAGGCCGCAGGCGCGGCGGCGGGCTCGGCAGCGGGAAGGGGCCCAAGACGTCAAGGCGGCCCTCAGCAAGCAGCGCGTTCTGCGATGGCCCGATGGATTCCAATCTTTGTTAAGGCTGTCCTCGGGGGCACCGTCCAGTTGTTGCTTCTCGCGACGGCGGAGTTCCTGACCTTCTTGCTCCCTGGGGACAGCGCGGTGGCCGAGGTCGCCTTCAAACGGGGCGAGCATGCGCGACTGCCGAGGCGTCCGCGAGGGGGGCTCACGCAAAGGGCCCGCAGGCGCCACTTCCAGAAGTACACGTGGGCCCCGCCTGCACTCATGTATTCGTGGTAGTAGCAGATCAGATCACCATTGAGGGGGGCATAGTAGGGGCTCGGAGCGAGGCGGCCTGGGAGATGCACGAGCAGAAGCTTGACGCCATCGCCGGCCAGAGAGAGCTGACTACCCTAGTGCGAGGATCCCGAGTGAGCTCCGCATTCAAGGAGAACCAGGCCAAGTTGATCGTCTCCCTGTCTGATCAGCCCATGCAGAAAGTATTCCCAGATTTTGCCATTCAATTTGGAGCAGAGCTGAAGGAGGGGATCGCGCCTCGCTCCCGCGCCGAGCGCGTGTGCCAGGCGGCGATCGACGAGTTCGAAGGGATGCGATGATGACTGTGCCTGAACGGGCTCTCCGAGACATACGCATGCACGCCGCCAACCCCTGGCAAGTTTCACGAGAGGTTCGAGCTTCGAGGCCCGCGGCGGCCAGTCTTGGGATTGACGCGATACGAGATTCTATTATTGGTGAGCGGAGTGAGGCCAGCGCATCACCCCTCCAGCAGCAACATCCGCAGTATAACTTCCATGAGCCGGTGAAACTTTTTAGTCGGTGAGCCCTCATGGGTTTGACCTCTTTTTTGGGATAGCCTGGGACCTGCTGTCGTCGTCGTTGTTCTTGACGCCGTTTCGTAGTTCGTTTTTCAGCTCCTCTCGCCTTTCCCGCTCTCTCTGGGCATCTGTCTCTCCTCCCCCCCTCGGGGGGCGGCGTCGTTCTGCGGTTTGGTGAACGTCGCGGCTCCCTCTCCCGCTTGCGGGGGGTGGGAGGCGCGGCGATCGTCTCTCGCGGAAAGAGGCTGTCCCCCGCTCCCTCCTGTGCCTTCGGGCCTCCCCCGCCGTCTGCTGTTTTCTGGAGACTGGGCCCGGGTTGTCGTTCCGAGTGCGTTTCGTGCTGGAGCGAGAATTCCACTCGGGGCTCCCGCTGTGGGGCCGTGCGCCTGTCGCTGTCAAAGTGCGCTGCAGGTCGCACGTCCTCCGAGGCCCTTGGAGATGTGCCACCTTTCGATTTCAGCTCGATGCTCGACCCGACACCGATTCGGCGCCGCCGTCTCCGCCTGTCCCTCCTCCGCCTCCGCCTCCTCCGTCTCCGCCTCGTCCTCCTCCCCCCCCTCCTCCTCCCCCTCCTCCTCCTCCTCCTCCTCCTCCTCCTCCGCCTCCTCCTCCTGCCCGAGGAAGGGGCTCCTCGTGCACCTTCGCGCCCTCCTGCGCGCCCTCCACGGCGCGCCCTGTTGCACGCCCATCCACGGCGCGCGGCCACCGGTGTGGAGTCCCCCCAAGACGACGACGCCTGCGAAACCAACAACGACAACGAAGAGGACGACGACGAGGACGACGACGAGGACGACGACGACGACGACGACGACGACGACAACGACGACGCCGACGACGACGACGACGACGACGACGACGACGCCGACGCCGACGACGACGACGACGACGACGACGACGACGACGACGACGACGACGACGGACGACGACGACGACGACGACGACGACGACGACGACGACGACGACGACGACGACGACGACGACGACGACGACGACGACGACGACGACGGCGTCGACGACGACGACGACGACGACGACGACTACGCGACAGGCAGGCGCCGCAACCGCCGCGGCAAACGCAGCCGCCGCGGCCGCGCCGACTTGGCCGCGCCTGGCCGCTGCGCGGACGAGGCAGGCCCATGGGGGGGGAGGTCCCCAGTGGATTTCGACCGCCTCAGCTTTTCTCGGGAGCCTTGAGACGGGTACCACAAACGGGGGTCGGCCAGAGCGCCGGATCTTGCGGGATCCTGCAGAGCCAAGGGTACACTGACCCAGGCTTGCGCGCAGGGTCCTGAAGGATGCCGCAGGATCTTGCTGGATCCTGCAAGGCCAGACTGACACGGGTTTGCATCGACCCGGGCCAGTAAATCCCCGATGTTCCCCGTACAGTCAAGGCGCCGAAAGAAGGACCATTGTTTTCGGGCCGCTCCTTAAACTTGGATGGGCGAGCCTGCATCACGTGTTTTGGAGTGAGCTTCGGGATTTCGGCCGCCTCAGTTGAAATAAGGACCTTTTTGGATTCAGAAGGGGCCCGGAAGGGGCTCTGGTTTTCGGCTGTCCTCAGACCTATATTGGGGAACCTCTTCGTGGCCGAGGCTCGCCGTGGCCAGACACCACCCTTCGTTCCTTATTCAGCCTACCTTGGAGTAGCACGATGACTGCGCGGGTGTTGGAAGAAGCTTTCCTGGAGAACGGGGGAGAAGGATGATGGGGGAGGGGTAACAGACCCTACGAGGCGGGCCTGGGGGGAGGGGGGGTCCCGTAGGGCGCATCGTTTGTATCATTTGATTTGCTCATTTTTGATGTGATTTTGGGTATTCCCTCATTCTCCCTCCCTCCCTCCCTCCCTCCCCTCCCTCCCCCTCTCTCTCTCTGTCTCTCTCTCGTTCTCTCTGTCCGTAGTTTTCGTTTTCCTGGTATTCGTCCTCGCGCCTCCCTGTGAGGGTGAGGTGGAGGCGGCACTGGGCGGGCGAGTGCGCCGGAAACCAACCAAAACAGGACAATCAATCAAAACCAACGGAAAAGCAGGAAAATCAGAGCCCCCAGGCAAACAAATCAACGAAATCAAGGCCCCGAGTTGTCTTCGGATGGGAGGCTTCGAAAAACCTTAGGTTTTCTTTCTAGTTTTCTGTTAACTACAGCTCAGGGCTTGGATTTCGTTGTTTTTTTGCCTGGGGGCTCTGATTTTTTTTTTGGTTTTGAACGATTTCGTGTTTTTGTTGGTTTCTGGCCCCCCGCTCTCTCTCTGGGGGTGAGGTGGGGGCGGCGCTGGGGGGGCGAGGGCGCCGAAAACCAACAAAAACAGGACAATCCACCAAAACCAAAAGAACATGACAACCAGAGCCCCCCCAGGCAACAAACATCAACGAAATCAAAGCCCCGAGTGGTTTTCGGATGGGAGGCTTTGAGAAACTGTGTATTTATACATATATATATATATATATCGAGTCTCTCTTAGTTGTTCTGTTTAAGCACCGCGCTGGGCTGGGATGTCGTTGGTATGTTTGCTTGGGGAGCTCAGTTTTTAATGCTTTTCCTTTTTGGTTTTAAATGGTTTTCCTGTTTATGTTGGTTTCTGGCCCCCCGCGCCCTTTCTGGGGGATGATTTCTATAGCAGTTTTGGCTTGAGAGCAATCAGTGCGCTCTCAGGCAACGACAGCGATGTCGGCCACTCAAAAGCAAAATTCCCGCCGACAACGGCAATGGAAAGAAGCAGTGGCCGAGGGGAGAGAGTTCAAACCGAAAGGCGAATAACTCTTCGACCCCGAGAAGGAGCAGGGGGCCTTCAAGAAAGCAAGGGTAGTCCACGACCGCGAGTCGGACCACCAGGAGGGACAGCATAAGGAGAAGGGTACGGCCACGGATCAGGCGGAGAAGACGACGAGAAACCAACAAGACGGGACTGAGGCACGCCAGCACCACGAGAGGGGCCACCACCAGAAGGAAGGGGATAAATAAAAGAAGGACGCGACGTAGAAGCAGGACGAGAAGACTGGGAAGCAGCAGGGCGGGGAAGAGGAGACCCAGCAGAACGCGAAGGGCCACTACTCTTGGGCAGAGCTCGCTCCCTTGAGCTCCGCAAGGCTTACGACAGACTCCCAAATTCTACGTGTCAGAAGTCGGAAGCTGGAACGTATGCATTACCGGTGGCGGGCTGTTTTGCAATCCCCGGACTTTTTGAGGATCGGGGACGACGTCGGGGTGGTGTGGTGTATACTTGTCCTTGGCTTTCCGGTGGAAGCAGCAAGCAATGCATGCACCAGGATGCCGCATGCACCAAACTCCGTTTTCTTGTGCGGATCTCAGCGCGGGGCCGGAAGATACATCGGTATATAAAGTTCGGTTCTTGAAGAAGAAGTCGTATTTAGATCGCAAAGAGTATTGCGTCGACATCGTGGCGAGGATGAGCGTGAATGTGAGGGCGTGCGAAAGGCCGCTCACAGGACGTAACTCCAAGTCGACAGTCCGCGACCTGCTCTCGAAGTATATGGCAACGTCGCGCTTCTCACGTCTTCACTTCAACACCCCCGAGCGATGCGTGCTTACTTTTGACTTCTTTTCGTTTGGAAAAGTGATTGCCCTGCGCATGAAGAGACGCGCTCCAGAGGGAGTGCTTGACATAAAGGCTGTGTCTTGGCACGCCCGCGCGGTGTCACTTCTCCGTCGGCAGCTCGAGCGAGGTCTCATTGCCGTTCCCAAGTCGGTTAAGTTTGAGGAGTGGTGTGGCGCTTCGAAGGGGAACAAGCGGAAGCGCGCGTCCTCCGCTGGCCCAGCTAAGCGCCAGAAGTGCTAGCTGATGCGCGCAGCCTGCGACGCCTCTTTTCCTCCGCAAATGATGCTGTTACATGTATTCGCGCTGTGCGTATCTGAAAATCGGTGTGGGTTGCACCTTTGTTCGCGTTGGGAGGCCCCGGCTACTCCGCCGACTCCCCGCGGCAACGCCCGACTTACTGCGATCGAGGGATTGCGCTTGCGTCTTGCATTGCGTTGCGCGTGCGTTACGTTAACATTGTTGTTTTGTTATTACGTTTGCATTGCTGTTTGTTGCAGTAGTGGAGAACGAGGGAGAGGGGGACGGAGGGCGGTATAATGGAGCGGGGAGGGAGGAGGAAAGGGAAAGGAGGGTGGGCGACGCATGTGTTAAGACGCGACGAGTCGTATCCCCAGACCCCTGAGAGCCGTCGCGCGCGCGGAAAACTGCTCGGTCAAATCGCGCAACCGATGCACCGCGCGGGGGGGTCCCAGCGGGACCTCGGCCGTTTCAGCTCTCCCCCTGGGGGGTTCTGGAGAGAGTTCTCCCGAAGCACAGGGGGGGGGGGCAGGAGGAAAGGGGGGGGGGCACATGGTCTACCATGCCATCAGTGTCCAAGGGGGGGGGGGGAGAATGTAGAAGGAGGAGGTGGAGAAAGAGGAGGAGGAGGAGGAGGGAGGAGGAGGAGGACGAGGAGGAGGAGGAGGAGGAGGAGGAGGAGGAGGAGGAGGAGGATGAGGACGACGAACAGGAGGAGGCGGAGGACGAGGCGGAAGAAGAGGAGGAAAAGGAGGAGGAAGAGGAGGAGGAGGAGGAGGAGGAGGAGGAGGAGGAGGAGGGGGAGGAGGAGGAAGGGGAGAAGGAGTCGGAGGAGGAAAAGGATTTAGGAATGGAGCAATGGACCAATGGAGGAATGGAGGGGTGGAGGAATGTAGTAATGGAAAAATGGAAGAATGGAGGAATTGAGGAATGGAAGATGGAGGAACGGAGGAACGGAGGAATGGAGGAATGGAGGAATGGAGAAATGGAGGGATGGAGGAAAAGATGAATGGAGGAATTGAGGAAAAAAGGAATGGAGGAATGGACGAATGGAGAGATGCAGGAACCGAGGAATGGAGGAATGGAAGAAAAGAGGAAGGGAGGAATGGAAGAATGGAGGGATGGACGAACGGAGGGATGGAGGAATGGAGGAATGGAGGAATGGCGGATGAGGAGGAGGAGGGGAGGGAGGAGGGAGGAGGAGGAGGAGGAGGAGGAGGAGGAGGAGGAGGAGGAGGAGGAGAGGAGCAGGAGCAGGAGCAGGAGAGGAGGAGGAGGAGGAGGAGGAGCAGCAGGAGGAGGAGGAGGAGGAGGAGGTGGAGGAGGAGGAGGAGGTGGAGGAGGAAGAGGAGGAGGAGGACGAGGAGGAGGAGGAGGAGAAGGCAAAGGAGGAGGAGGAGGAGGGGGAGGAAATGGAGGAGGAGGAGGACGAGAAGAAAAGGGAAGATGAGGAGGAGGAGGAGAAGGAAAGGGAAGAGGAGGAACGGGACGATGATGATGATGATGATGATGATGATGATGATGATGGTGATGTTGATGATGATGATGATGATGATGATGATGATGATGGTGATGATGATGATGATTCCGATGCTGCTGCTGCTGATGATGATGATGGTGGTGGTGATGATGATGATGTTGAAGTTGCTGATGATGATGCTGATGCCCATCATGACGCTGATGATGCTGTTCTTTACGATGACGATGTTGTTGATGCTGACGATGATGACCACGATGATGCTGATGCTGATGATGCTCATGGTGCCGAGGATGCTGATAATGAGGATGATGATGATACTGCTAGTGCTGATGATGCTGATGATTATGATGCTGATGCTGATGCTGATTCTGATGATGCTGCTGCTGTTGGTGCTGATACGGATGATGATGGCGATGATTCTGATGATTATGAGGATGATGATGCTCATGATGCTGATGATGTTGATGACGATGATGATGGTGATGGTGCTAATGCTGATGCTAATAATGATGATGGTGCTGATACTGATGATGATGCTGATGATTATGATGATGATGATGATGATGATGATTATGAGGATGCTGCTGATGATTCTGATGATAATTCTAATGATAATGATGCTGCCGATTATGATGCTGGTGAAAATGATGACGATGATAATGCGGATGCTGATGCTGATGATGATGATGCTGATGATGATGATGATGGTGATGCTGCTGATGATGATCAAGTGTATGATGATGCTGATGATGATGATGATGATGATGATGATGATGATGATGATGATGATGCTGGTGCTGCTGTTGATTATGATGCTGATGATACTATCGATGATGATGAAGATGATGCTGCTGATGCTGA